ATTGTCTGCAAGAATGGTAAGTTATAAAACGAAAGTGAAAGTAAATGAGAATTAAAGGCTATAGTCTTGGGAGCAGTTGTTATTTCATAAATAATTTGAATAGGTGATATCACCTATTCGAATAAGTGATATCACCTATTCAAAATGATTAAGTGATATCACCTATTCGAATAAGTGATATCACCTATTCGAATAGGTGATATCACCTATTTGATTTGAATAGGTGATATCACCTATTCGAATAAGTGATATCACCTATTCAAAAGGAATAAGTGATATCACCTATTCGAATGGGTGATATCACCTATTCGAATTGGTGATATCACCTATTCGAATAAGTGATATCACCTATTCGAATAGGTGATATCACCAATTCAAATCAAATAGGTGATATCACCTATTCGAATAGGTGATATCACTTATTCGAATAGGTGATATCACCTATTCGAATAGGTGATATCACTTTTTGGCAGTAAATACCAAAACGGCGCCTCATACATATTGTTCATCAAAAAACTATACAAAAAACTGTAAAAAAATATTGACCAAAAATCAATGTAAGAGGTTCATTTTTTAAGCTCTTCTGAGCCAAAGGCCCAAAGAGCTAATGCTATGGCCATTTGTGCGGTGTGCGTAAACTTTTTAGAATATGGGCCATAACTCAAGAACCCTTTGGCCAATTATTGTCAAATTTGTCACAGGGTATCCTTGGGCTAAGAGCTTCCGTTTACACTAAAACTAGGGTTGTGACCCTTAAACAAGGGGAGACAATTAGGAAAATAGAAACAAAAGAGACTTTGTACTCAAAGTTCTAAAAGTTTTTGGGCTACATATGCAATTGATAAGTTACTTCTTCAATGAATTTATAAAGGAGGCCATGCAATTATGGTCAACAAGATAATTGATTAATTCAGTACATTCAATGAGAAGCAATCATACTTATCCATGCCTCAATGCACACAAGGTAGTGGACAGTTACTCAAATAATAGAAATTTATCTTTTGCTTAAAAGTAATCAAAAGTTGCAAAGTTGGAGCTATCTTTGATTTTGCTTGTTGTTTCGATAGCCCATAGCACATATATGAATTTCAATAGTCAAATACATGCAACTTTTTGTCAGTATTTCTTACCAAAATAATTTTTGTGAAAAACTGCATATACATAGCTAAATCAAGCTATTTTGAATAGCTTAATAAAGCTAAATAGCTATTTCAAGCTATATAGCTAAATTAAGAGATTGTACTAGACCTGCTTATTTCCCAATCCCAACGATAAGACTTTCTTTATATATTCTGCAAATTCTCTCTGCATTTATCATTGAACAAAATTCATATGACTGCAATTATATGACCATATTCTTCAGTTTAGAGAGCATATTATAGAGGATATTTTGGTTAAAGTTTTGGTCTGTTTCATGCAGTGTTTGTAATATTCTTTCATCTTACACAATTGTATACATTAAGATTTATTTTATAGCTAAAGTACAAGAGAACTGCAGCATCTAAGACTACATGTACATCGACTTTGAATAATCTACCCGGTATATCCTGAAAAAGGCAACTCAAATACAGGTATGAAATTGATGTCACAAAATAAGTTTTTGGACTTACATTTACTCTTATAATTCATATACATATAAAGCATATAAAAATAAAAATAGAAAAGAATTAAAGGTTCATCAGGTGACAGCTCAATCATGTATGGAATATTATTAGGCCAAATAAAAAAATATGTGTGGTTCCCATTACCTGACCGTCCCTATTTTAGATCCCCAACCCTAAACTTTTTTTCGGCAATATTCATATTTATTTTCCGGAATTTTCCGCGATTTCCGTCATCCACTTCGGTATTAGTTTTAGTTCCAGCAATGGCGGCCTCCATGCAAAAATGGTTTCAACACGTAGTGCAAGTGTTTGATGGTGTTAAATCTAAAGCAAGCTAGCATGGTGTGGCAGTATACCATTTTCCAGCGCCATGTTTTTTTGTTTGTTTGTTTTTTGGTTGCCAAAATTAAATAAATATGCCCAAGAGTGGCGAGATTCAGTTAGTTGCTCTGTTTACAGCTGGTTTATAACAAGTGCATGCTGATTAGCCCCTTTATTATTTAATGCACGCAAAGGTGTGAAGTCAGGATAGGAAATCACTTCTCGCTTGAAAGCACACAGGCAGCTGGCCAGGTAATGTTTTTTGGAGTTAGGGGGAAGATAACATGAGAAAACATTTATTTGATTGCATTGATTACGCAAGAATTAGCCCAATGTGTAAGATAGATTAACTTGTAAACTATTAACTAATTTATATCAGGATCATTTCTTTTAAACCGAAAGTAGAAAAAAAAAACAGTTCATGAGGAAAAGTGAAAAAGAAGACTGCTGATTTTACATGAATAAAGTCAACTTGCAAAACACCAATATATATGAGAAATGAGCTTGGAAGTATGAAGTCTTCAATGAGGCAAAAAGGTTTCATGATAGGATTTAAAATTTTAATAATATTAAATATTTGTAATTCTGACAAATTTGAATGATTCTATGTCATCTTGCTTAGGTGATTTATTTTGTTTTAAACATTACTGTACAAAGTGTAGGTGTCACATTCTTTTCCTCCGACAGCTCTTAGCAGAACTCTCAAGTCTGTTTTCTAGTTTATAGTTCAGAATTTATTATTAAGTAAAATAAGAACTGTTCTGGATAAAAGTAATTAATTAATTTCATTTATAAACACTGATTTTAAAAAAAGGATGTTCACCTTGGACTTTATTTTTTACAAAAAGAAAAGATTGTGTTTTCATTATTTTTGATTTAAAAATATTTGTTTCATATTCATAACTAGGGTGCCCCCTGCCAATGTTGACTAGTATTTTTAACGCCACATCGAAATGCCACTTATTTTCTCCTTCACTCTGTTCATCCACAAATAAAACATTTCTTTTCTGAACCATAGTTGGAAAAGACTGAATTCAAAATAAACAAAACATTTATTAGGTATGAGTTATATACTCAGCTCTTCACAAAATATTTCTGTTTTTTTGCATTCTATAATGTACAATTTTAGATTTTATATACCTGTATAAAGACTTCCGCAGCAGATTCCGGTAGAGAAATCATGATCTATATTTAAGATTTAATGTATAATGCTTAAGATATCCATTAATTTTACTTATAATATACAATTCTGAAATTAATATCATCCTTTAAAAACAAGGATAGCACATATCATCTTCGTAAACACTTAACATTCTAAAAAAAGAAAATATAATATCCAAATAACTGTTAAATAATTCAATTTGCTCATGCTGATTTTCTTCAAACATTGTATTTTCTAGATGAGTATGAACTCGAATGAATAGAATCAGCAAACAACTGTTTAAATACCCAAGACATTTTATTCACACATTAAAGCACATATCTAATCCATATGCTTAAGAGAAAACATATCTAACAATCTGCACATAAAATAGTTCACTTATGCTAACGAAAAGAAATAAGAATTATTTAGAAAAATTTAGAAAATCATTTTGTACAAAAAAAAAAAAATCCCTACCTACCCTATTTTTTTGGAGGTGTAACCGGAACCACACATATTTTTTTGTTTGGCCTTAATGCTGAGTTTCCAAATGCAAAATTAAGGGTATTCGATATATTCCATACAAGTTGTCAGTCATTTATTAGTGATTTATACAGAGGTTCATTTGCATATAAATGTTGATAACATTGTTTTACTGTCTTTATTAACTTGTAATACTAAATTTTATAAATTGACAAATTCATTCTTTTTAGAAAGCGCATATAATTTGGAAAAGAGACCATCAATCCACTGGGGGGTATCGCATGAAAGCAATGATTATAGAATATTGTAAGGCTGGAGGAGTTATAGTACAACAGGCAGGCAAGTAATGGTACTTTGTTCTGGAAATTTTTCGCCCCAGTTTTATTTTTCTCATTCTGCCCTCCTTACAAGTAGGTGAATTTAAAACGGGACAAATTCGAAGAAGGCAGCATATATCTTTTAAACACAAATGTGTCTGATCAAATTTGAAAAGGGCAAAATTGTTTTCAAGGGTGAAAGAGTGAATATTTTAAAAATTAGAATGGGGTGAAAATATCCAATAATACAGGTTATATGTATTAACACAGTACATATGCATTTCTCTTTTCTTTATAATGAAAATAATTTGTTCTGTAAAAGGACAAATTTTGTTCTGATTTGTATCAAATAAATATGTGCCAGATTTATTATTTTGCAGGCACCTAAGTTACCATCAGTTGTGTGTCAAGCTGTGCAAAAATTCTATGTCATGTTACAGAATCTTTCTTAAATACAGGTATATGTCTGCTCATCTGGCAATCTTAGGACATCACTGGATGGTTTTGTTTAAAAAGATTACAGAGTTAACACACACTTCCAGCATGAAGACCAGCCAGTTGCCTCACCTGTCCTGACATTGTTAAAGGTAAATGGTCCTTTCAGAAAAGGATCTGACAATGCAAAGGCTTGCTAATCAATTAAAGATTTCTATTTACTAATAGGTAATTAATTTGAATTTCTGTAGCTTAAAAATTTAATGATATGAATTAAAGAAAATATTTTAATCAAAATTATTTTTATTTCAGTACTTTGTGACAGTGAAAAGACATGGCTTTAAATTACTGTATCAGAGATCAATCCAGGTTATAAATCTGAGGAAAACAATAAAGCATCCACTTCGAGCTACTTATATCACTGCCTTAATAAGATGTCTGCATGTGTAACTAACAAAGGACAGTGACCAGTTGTAGCTATGATATCAGAGGGCATCCTGAAAAACACTCATCACTAAGAATAGAAAACTTCAAATGACTTTTGTATCAATCCTTTTGAATTTCATCTGGCTTGGAATTTCAGTAGCCTTTAGCATCCTTCAAGCATTTCATGAAGTACATGTACCAATTTGCAGGCATAAAATGTTTGAAATAAAAAAAAAATAATTTCTCTGCCAATTAACAGTGTCACAAGCAGTTGATTGATATCACAGTTCCACTGGCATAGTATTTGTGGTTGAATGGTGCCATTTTTAAGAAAACTTTTCACAAAAACCTGGAAAACATCAGATGGAAAGGAGCATCTACAAGAAAAACAGTTAACACTTTCTTGAATATTAACAATGATATATCATGCCCATTTACATCCATTATATAAACTAATTAACCTAATCATAGAGAATTATGTACAAATTTGTCCTTTTGTGTATTTATAGTGTATTAAATTGATTTTACTAATTAATAAATATTTATGTTTTTCACAGTCATTAACATTTACAAATAGAAGTACACATAACATAAAAATATTACATGTTTAGTAGGATAACGTGAAATTGTTATACCACAAAAACCATCGCTGACCTCGCCTCGGTCAGCAATGGTTTTTAAGGGGTAAGAATTTTACATCACCCAAAATAAACAGGTAATATTTTTCTTGTCATAAAATGCATTTTAAAGAAAACATCAAGGTGAAACGAATGTGCAAACATTCTGCACAGTTAACATTTTTTATTACTGTATATACTGTTACCCGTAGTCATGCATTTTCAACCATTGGGATGTAATGTTTGGCATACAGTATGGTAATAGTACTTGTTAACAAATTTTTTTAAACCAATCAAATTTGACTATTTAACATGAAAGTGTATCATAACAAATTTATCTAGCATAATGGTGCTGTAAGTAACCATGGAATGTGAGCTTGTGTGAACTTCATCCTGAATTATTAAGTTTTGATATTGTAAAAAAGAACTGTGCAGCCTAAACTTTAACTTGTACCTGATTTAAATGGAGTTCCGTCATTAACAACTTGGAAGTTGGAAGTTGTCACACTCATCATGAGTATAATAACTGGGGGATCTGCTTCATTTGCAGATACATGGATAACACATTCACTCAAAGCACTGTCCCTTTTTCAGTACCTTGTGCAGCCCTGTAATATATAATGACAAATGGAGAAAAATGCCTATTTCAAGAAAAAAAGTCTGTCTCATAATTGTAGGAGTATTGGCAAGGGGGGGGGGGGGTGTCATGAAACTTGGCGGTTAATCCAGTTTGTATGTGTAAATGAAAAATGCCTTCTTCTTTGTAGAATAAAAAATGATTATTTTTTGAGTGTTTGTGACCATTTTTATTTCCGAATAGACAGGGTAGCTTAATAGCCTACAGAATGAGCTGACCATTTTTATTGTTGTAATTAAAAAAAAGAAAGAATGTGTTTTCTACAAAGATCATATGTTATAGACGTGGTATTCAACTTTGTATTTCCATGGTCGATGCATTTGGGTACATCTATTTTTTTATTTGCTTTCAATGACATCGCATTCAATATCCCAAACTCATGTATACCTGTCCAATACTCCAAATTATACCACTGTAAGCTAAGTCAATGCTTTAAATTTATGAAACCAATCTGTAGATAAGCGTACCTTTTGAATACAGACGATTTTAGAAAAAAAAACGATTTAATTTTCCCTTTTTGCTTAAGTATGTTGGCTAATCTTGGCCCCCTCGGAATAGCTTGTGTTTACGTTATGTAATGAAAAAATAAAGCAATTAAACGCTATTTACCTGCATCTATCAATCCACTTTCTCCTCTTCTTTGCAACAATCGGGGATCAAAACAAACTGCAAGTTTAATAATTCCACTGCGATGCTTACAACTTAAGTAATCCATTGTCTCCAAGAACACTCAGGTACCCGGGAGTTATAAAACGAAAGTGAAAGTCAACGAGACTTACAGACCCTTTGAATTTTCCTATAGTATACATGATAGATAAGTGTAATAAATATAATTTGTGAGCAAAACAAACAACAAATTCTACTGGGGTGCTTAAAACTAAATGCGAAGCTGTAATCTATTGTCTGCAAGAATGGTAAGTTATAAAACGAAAGTGAAAGTAAATGAGAATTAAAGCTATAGTCTTGGGAGCAGTTGTTATTTCATAAATAATTTGAATAGGTGATATCACCTATTCGAATAAGTGATATCACCTATTCAAAATGATTAAGTGATATCACCTATTTGAATAGGTGATATCACCTATTCGAATAGGTGATATCACCTATTTGATTTGAATAGGTGATATCACCTATTCGAATAAGTGATATCACCTATTCAAAAGGAATAAGTGATATCACCTATTCGAATAAGTGATATCACCTATTCGAATAAGTGATATCACCTATTCGAATAAGTGATATCACCTATTCGAATAGGTGATATCACCAATTCAAATCGAATAGGTGATATCACCTATTCGAATAGGTGATATCACTTATTCGAATAGGTGATATCACCTATTCGAATAGGTGATATCACCTATTCAGAAGCTGAATAGGTGATATCACTTATTCGAATAGGTGATATCACCAATTGAATAGGTGATATCACCTATTCGAATAGGTGATATCACTTTTTGGCAGTAAATACCAAAACGGCGCCTCATATACATGTAGATCTACACGTGCTTCACTCTCCCTTGTTTTCTCAACTATATCTCGTACCTGTACCTTTCTCCATCACTATTGTAGACAGATCTTTTATCAGGGTCACAGAAACTCGGTTCTAGTGTCCACATCAGCAATATAATAAAGATTGAATAAATTTAATCAAAGTTTACATAGCTCGTTGAAGGAACATTTCATCACACTAGAAATATGACATTGAATATTTCTAGGAAAATGTCACAGGATAATGAGGTTTTGAAGTCATGTAAAATATACATGTATGACTTAAAACCCTTCATTGAAATGAATCTAAACATTCAAACATGCTGATGTCCATGACATAAAGACCTACCATTTTTTTTACTCATAATTTTAAAAGGTCAAGGTCACAGAATCTACACATGCTTTTGGCTCATGGCAATCAACGTAGACAAAAATTTTATTCTATTTTGTGAGTTAAATGTTTCAGATCTGATGCAATTTTTAACCTGTCATTTTACTATTTAGACGGAGTCAAGATTATGAGCAGTGGTGAGCGACTTCAAATAAATTCATTCTCAGGCATGGTATGTAAATGACACGAGATGAATTTGGCATAAACTTATACTAGTGTGGGGGGGGGGGGGTAGGTAGGGGGGTTCGCGTGTGTGCGGAGACAGTACGGCCTACCTTTCATGAATAAGATAAGCTGTACATGTACTAGAGGAACATATCAATTAAACGTTCATCTGTGCGGATATCAGTTCACAGTGATTTATTTTTTTTCAGTCCCTTCGCTGTACTTACGGGTCATATAGATAAAGCCTTCTCAAAATCGCCATTTCTTCGTAACAGCAGTAGCGAGAACTACATGATGTCATAGACCGCCTTGACCTATAAAGATGTAATAAAAGAGATATTTTAATAAGGAGAGCTAATTAAATTTAAAAACGTAATTTTTCATCTTAAAATTGATATATATATATATATGTTTTTTTGTTCCTATTTTTACCAAGAAGTGAGTCAACCATTAGTTAACAATAAAACATTACTGAATGGGATGTATTGAGCATAAAAAACAAACGTCACAACAAATTATCGGCCCTCATCAGCTGATCTCAATTATACAGACCTACACGTGCATCTCTGTAGCTCCTGCGGCAAAACGGAAGCGATAAGTGGCCGCGCTTTCTTTGATGAAATCCATTTGTCGAGGGTAAAGTAAACAAATGATATTTGCAGATTTTGCAGTATTACAATTACTTACGTTTTGTTTTACTTAATATATACATTGAAAGAGAATTAAAACTTTTCAGTAGTTTTGTTCCATATATAATTATATTACTTACCTGTATCTGTGAAAATACGAATTCTCACTCCTCCCTAAACCGATGACAGCGAAAACTGTCCATAAAATACTTAGTTTAGTTTTGACCACCATTTCTCCATTATTCCGTCGTGAGGCTGAATGTGTACCATTCCATTGTGATCATGTTATTGTCCGTACAATCTGATAGTTATACACCTCCTTGCTTGTCACTGCTCACTTCTGCCTATATGATGTTTTAATTCAGTTTAGATTTCAATGTCTAACCTGAAGTAAACACAATTTTCTGAATAAATATCTGGATAACTTCAACATAAGAATAATTCAGCAAAAAAAAATCAGATGTAAATTCGATGCAATCTGACTTGCTAATTGAAACATTGAAACACAGATACAAACTCCATACACCGAGGATACGCCTTTCAGCTCAGATGGTCAATGTTTTCTGGCACTTCATCATGTACTGGTAGGAGAACAAACCGCGTGTGCGAGTTTTACACAAGAAAGCATTTTTTCTACCTCAATCATATTTTCATGATTCACAGAATTTTTTAGAGGATTACATACTGAAGTCTTTAATTGCATAATGCTTGAATAATATTGACAATAATAAATACTATAGTATGTATACATGTATGTATAATGCAGAGAGCATTCCACTTTTAGTCACCATTTTCAAAGGAACACCCACTTCTCGTATCCTATATGTCAACCTCTTCACTTGATTCGGCGCTAACATAAAAGTGTTTTCTGTAATGTGATACATACAATTAGTTGTGCCCAATTAGCAAGATGTTGAGACGTTTGGCGAATTTTGGCAAAAGAATTGAGAAAGCAGACCGCATTCTCTATTACATACTCAATTTCAGTGATTAACTTCAAATTACACTCAGTTAAAAAGCAGTACACAAATTTAATGAAAGATCACACGTTTAAAAATTACTTTTTTTCTGTTGGCAAAACTGATTCACTATGTTAAAGATACATTGGGATATTTCTTTTTTGTTTCAGTCATTATTTTGTAATGTATGTATTATGGAAACCCATACTGTGCAATAAGGATGGTTACGGCCAAAGGGTGAATCATGACTTTGAGTCTACTACATTGTAGATCAGTTATAGACAAAGTCAAAAGGATGTGTCGAACACGGAATAGTCTTGACTGTGAAATATTGTCCTGTAGACCCTTCCATTTTTAACAAAAATAAATCCTTCAGAAACTGACGGAAAGACAACATAAGTAAACTGATGGATTGTTAAATGTAGGTGTTGACAATATTACATATATGTTGTGCTCTGTTGCATAACAAAGAAACCTATTCTCACACTTTGTATATACCAGTATAACCACAGACAGAGTAATGAGAATGCATCTTACCTTGTTTTATGTTTAATTGTAAACATGTATTGACATTCTACACAATATATGACATTTTTACAATATTTCTTTTGATCATTATTTCTCCGAACATTTGCTGTAGTACTGTAGAGCGTAACTGACACATTCACCGTCATTGCTGATTCTCAATTCATTCAGCAACTTCTGGCGAAGAGAGTCACCAACCGGAAGTGGTGGAGGAGAAACGGTCATGTTCACTGGAAATTTAAGAACAAGAATTTACTTATGTTTTGTAAAATATCCTGATTTAAAAAAGAAGGAACCGTGAAGTCCAAAATACTTGCAATGCGGGTAAGCTAAAATAATCGACAAGCACTTCTTCGTATACAGGGGGCCCACTCCTTTCTCTATCTACAAGGCATGCAGCTCAATTTCAGACACCCTCACTTGAAACTCGTGTTTTATGAATTTATCAATCATTAACCTATTTTTACAAGACAATATTCGCTTCCAGAGACTTTTTTCTTTTCTATTAAATCGTTTCAGACGTCCACCGTCGGGCCTCTTTATTGTAAACCACTCATTTATTCCTTGAAAATTGTCTCAACACATTCTAAGACTACAGAAAATACATCAACTTCCGATTTGGCTTATATTGTACGTTAAAGCCAGACATTTCAGAATGAAAACTTCAGAATATGAAACAAGTGCCTGTCGTTCTTTCTATAAAAATGATTGAACATCTTTTCATAATGAAAACTTTGAAATTACCTGGTAGCTGTAAATACTATGCATTACACTACAAGATTAAATAACAATTCTTTTTTTCACTGATAAGGTTCGTTTCACTTTACCTGTTGGAAGTTTTCCACACGAGCACTCTTTCATTTTTCTTTCAAGTATCTACATTTAAAGGATAGAAACGTTTAAAATCCACACAACCTTCATGTATTAAACTTTAATTAATTACATAATTCCAATATTTTTGTTTTGTATATCTAAATGAGATCATCCTTACAAAATAAATGGCTAGTATTCTCATAACTAGTTTAACTTCTTACTTGGATTCGGTTCAGTATGTCGGTTACATCTTCAGCTGCAGAATATAAAATATTCCTTTTTACAATTACATGTAAAAGAAAAGCCTTTCTCGGTATAATGTTGATCTAACTTCAGTTCATTTTGGTTTTTTAAAAAGAGTGTTTAATGTTTATAGTGAGATGCCATTTTCAGCATTTTCTACATTGAAGGAGTCATACATGTAATTGAAAAATTAAAATATCTTTTTGCCTTGCCAGAACAATACATACGTATATATATATTGCACTGAATTAAACAAAAATTTAAAAAAAACGTTAATTAAGTCTGCCCCCAAAAAACCGATGTGTCTCTTGTCAACTGTTTGACGAAAAGAACACATGATTTTTAGAATTAATTTTTTATGAGAAATCGGATTATTTTTATCACTTCTGGGGGTGAATTGATTACTCGAAGTATATTTAGCAAATTCAGATATGAGAATCCTTAGTTCTTGTCTCTGTGTTTGGTGATACCCGTCAGTATTGCTGGTACGCTTTCTGTTGGCTCTCCTTTAGGTCCCTGGGGTCCCACTGGGCCAATGGCTCCTGGTTCACCTTTCTCTCCCTTTGAAATTCTATCATTCCATTTACTTGGCTCGCCCTTCTCTCCACGTTGACCTTTTTGACCTGTGTCACCTTTATGACCTCTATCGCCCTTTGGCCCCTGAGCTTTAGAATCATCGATGTTTGTTTTCTTCTTAAGTTTCTTTTATGTGTGTGATCGTGACGAAACAAGGATTTCCAAAAATTAATCAATAACTGATAATCAATATAACCATTCATATTACAAAAATACATGTATATGAAACATTTTAAAGTAAATTAATTAATTTACTTACATTAACTTGATCCTGAAGAATTTTAAATTCTCTTTCTGAAAAAAGATAATAAATGTCGAAGACAATGGCGATTCAAAATAAAATCTCAAAGCTGGACTAGGAATTTGAGTTGCTGATCGATGTACAGAATTAGATTAAACAATCATGTACCGCTTATAAAGGAGGGATTTCCGGGATCCCCTTTTTGACCCCACTCCCCTTTTCCCCCTGGATTTCCGGGAGGTCCTCTTTCTCCGGGTTCCCCCTTTCGTCCTTGAATTGACCTCGTTATACTCAGTCCGGGCATTCCAGGATTGCCTGGAATAATAAACCTAGCAGTAGGAAATCCCCATGTGTTTTCATCTAGGCATGTTTTAGCATTAATTATCCATAATACCTTGCTCTCCTTTGTCACCTTTAGGTCCCACTGGCCCAGAAGATTCCCATGCTCCTAACCAAGACATTAAAAGACAAGTATCTTCTTTTTTTTTTAATTGAAAATGTCTTTAACACTCGCCTTCTTTTTCAATAGTTTTGAATTTCTCCTATTAAAATAATAACAGCTTGTGATAAAGAAAATTGTATTTGATATACATCCTCTAAGACCATTATCAGTTTCTTTCAATATACTGACTGATAGGGATTTCACATTGTCCAGTACTACGCCAGTTATTCCTCGTGATCCATTCTCTAGAGTACCACTGGCAATTCACTCTGTTGAATTAAAAAAAAAATTGCTGAAATCTCCGACCGTATAATATTTCTTTTTTTTTTTTTCACGCATATTAATGGAACAGCTAGGGGCCTTCCTGATCAAAATCGTCAATAAGAAAAGCAATTTCTTAAATTTGAAACGCAGTATCATTTTGAAAACTGGGATGTTTGTTATTTGGATTGACTGTCGAAGTATATACATGTATTTAATTTTTTACGATTTGTTTGATCAGTAAAGAAATTGGTATCTCAGCACGGTCTGGAGAAGTCCATATATACATATGATTCACGTGTTGAGAATTCAATTAATTTTTTTCAGTTTAGAAATCTACCTCAACAGCATTGGGTAAATATAAAAAGAAGACTTTTAAAATAATACGATATAATTTTTAAAAAAAAAATTAAAAGCTGGCGGCTGGTTATCTAAAAAGATAATTTTTTACATATACTTATTTTTCAAAGTTAATGTACTATTATGTTTTTATTATCATTTTTTTTTATTTAACAAATCAACATGTGACTTTTCTTGCAATAGTAACTACTCGGCCATTTTCGTTAATGAAATGGCCGAGTTTCTGTTGAATTCACAACTGTGATAGTTTGTTTATAACATAGTTTCAAATTCAACACCTTTGTAAAAAGATAAACAATTTACCTGCCCATACAGAACTCAACAGCAGTCAATAGCTCACACATTCGGAGAAAGATGACCGCTTTTGGAAAACGGAAGTGATGTTAATAAACCATATGTGTTTCAATATTTTCTAGTTTTTAACTTTGATTTCATTTCCCATATAGAAAAAAATAAACATCATATGTCCCTTTTTATATCTAGACTATTCCTTACCTTCTGAGATTTAGTTGACATTGACCGTCAATAAACAACAGTACAAGATGTATCCAAAATATCAGATTTAGCTTAGTTCTTAGGACCATGTTTCAATAACAGGCGTAGGTTCATCCAAATACACAATGCACCTTATTACCAGTTCACGTTAAAGCCATTTTCAAACACATTTTTCTTCAATATTTTTTATCTTTACCAAAAAAAAAAAAAAAAAAAAAAGTCGAAAGAAAAGTCTCATCTTTCAAACACTTTAGCCGGAATTTAACTGACAGGTAAATCATGTAATTTGTTAAATGACGTAGGATAGGATTACCTAATTAACATTCACAGGTGCACACTCTGACCCCGTATAGATCAAGTGTAGTTTTTAATTCCTTGTTTAGTTATAATATCATGAGTCAGATACTTCAGAATGATCCTCGAGTTTGGTTGTCCCCCCACTATTTCAGGAAAACATGCGCACAAATCATTTGTAGTAACTATTCCGTTTACTCATTCATAATTATTGAAGTTTCTATTTCGAGCAAGCTTGGAAAGTATTCACTTGTTGGCCATTAAAACAGGGAGCAAAACAGAATACACATATAGTGAAATACTTTAGGCGATTAGAAGTGCAATAGAACTGTCTTCTATACTAATAGTATTGATTTACAGTTTCCATGGATATTTCAGTGTGCTTCTGAATGATTTGAAAAAAAATATCCCTCTCTCTCTCCACTCATGGTTATAAGGTTTCACCGAAAGTATATCTAATATCATCATTATATCCTCCTTTGCAATAAATTGAAATATTGTCTAGTTGCTTTATTGTACTTTGAATACATAATTCATTTTTAATATTTATGCGTCTTTTCAGCATTTATCTATCAAAAATCACAAAAGATAACGTAATTTTATAGATTTTTTTTTTCTTGTGAATATTTGTTACAAGATTGTTTTATTTGTAGATTACTGGATGCATGTATAATTTACATGTACAAATACGATCCGCTTGAAATAAAGCTAAAATTCTTAGTTAATTCTAGAACCGAAAGTCAGTGTTTCCCGCCATCACGAAGAAGCCACGTCATGGAAGTTTTCCTCCTCCTCTGCGTCATCATGTCCGATAGTGTCGACATCAGAGACATCAGATTCGGGCGGATCATTAATTATCGGTTCCCCGTCCCCTAGATCATGATCCACTGGGGTTTGCTCTTCCGTTGTAGTTTCTTTTGCTTCTGGTGTCGTAGTTTTGCCATTGGCTTGTATTTCAGATAATTCTTTTTCACGTTTCTCTCCTTCCATTTCAAGAGATAGTCTACTTCGTTCCAATTCGTCCATCTGACTAAGCCCCCGGGTTAGAAGTTTTGGGCTCCCGGCTTTTTGATATTCTGTAGAATTAGAGGCGCTAGGATACTCGGGTGGTAGATCATAGGCCACGGACTGCAGACTTATGGACATACTTTTTCCTTCAGTTGTCTCCCTTTCGTCCTTTGACATTCTAAATTCTCGGTAGGGATTCAGCTCTTTGGCGCTATGTCTGATGTTAGTAATGTATACAACATCGTTAAACCCGGAGAAGTCAATTTCCCATCTACCATTTCCTGCATCGAATTCTTCAATACGATCAAATCGATGACCCCAGAGGATTTCTGAAGGTAAGTATGACGTTCTAGCCTGGCAGAACTCGCCAGTTGTTTCAAGAGTCCCCTCTATACAAACAACAAGTTCATATTCCTCTGACGACAAGTCGGAGGGTTTTATGGCCCAAAAAGGACTGTCCTTGGTAATTTTATGATTGAGAATGAGCGGCCACATTAGCATTATTGTTTCCCCCATGTTGTTGGCCTGGAAATGGACGTCATGCTGAAACAGGGGATATGCTACACCCTCTCGGGTCACGTGTCTTTTGATGAGGATTCCGTGTACCTTGGCATCAATAAGGTGACTCTGTCGCATGTCTCCAACTCGTATCTACAACAGAAAGCAAACAAACGATTTAGTTTTTTTTTTAATGTGTAGAAATAATTCAAAAATTGTTTGGTAACCGATTTATATAAGCGTCTCTGTTCACAATTATCAAGAAAAACTTACTTGTAGACAAAGATCCCCTTCCTCTTGTGAAACGCATGCAAATTTGCTGAACATGATGGTCTTTCGACGACGCTTGGGCTGAGCAAATTTTACAAAAATAAAACCAAGCAGAACATTTTCTAGAAATATGCCAACAGTGATCTGTACAAAAAGCAGGGGGAGAGCGCCACCACAGTCTGTGTTAGGATAGGCAAAACCGTATCCGATTGTCGTCTGGGTTTCTATTGAAAATAGCATAGCATCAGCGAAGCTGTTGACGCCATTGACACAGGATTCCCACTTCGGATCGTTGACGTGGTCGAAATCTCCGTGATTGAACATCATCCAGTACCACATAATAGCAAAAAAGAAATAAGATAAAAGATGAACGTTGAAAAGCACGGCAAGCGCGTATCGCCATTTCAAGTCTATGAGAGTGATGTATAGATCTTGGAGGAACTTGGCACGATATTCTTTCAGTCCTGTATATTTCACCCTATAATGGCCAGATTTCTGTACGATTGCTCTGCGTTTGTCTTCGGGGTTGTATTCACCCAGGTTAAATCTTTGTTTGACATAATTCACGAACGGCAACTTGCTGAGTTTTTCTTCGACTTTCTCTGTTGTAGACATCTTTACTGTATCAATGTAAAATTACAATGGCGAAGTCTCTTATTTCTTTTTTGAACTTGGTGGTCTGAGTGTGACATTATAATTAATGGTATATTTTCTTGTTGATTAGTTTAATCACCAATAAATCACAATCAAGAAAAAAATAAACAAGTGTTTCTGGTAACCCAAGGGGCACAACGCATCATTACATGTTACGGGACTATGGCGAAAAATCTGTCAAGCAAAGCGCTAGCAACTCCATTAGTTTCAATGTCTTTTATCCATCGATGACAAGATAAAAGAAACCGATTGGCAATTAATCAATTATCCTGAAATATTGATCTCTGAATGAATGAGATTGACCGAATTACAGAATCTATCCGTATTGTTTAAAACGCATGTACAAAGCATGCACATTTTTCATGCCATATGTTACTTTTTGAGATTTTACAAACATGTAAATTAAACGCTTGCCAGACCAAATCATTAAATATCAGTTACTTGCCTGGGTTTGTTTAAAGTCAAAAAGACAGTGAATGTCAATATTAAAATTACAATGAATTTTAAATGAGTAATGGCAAAGGACATTTGAGAAACTGTCGCCTTACTTTTTGCAACATAAAGCTTACAACAACAATGTATTCAGCACCTCTAATTGATTCTTTAAAATTTAAATGTAAGTTAGTCCGCATTGTGTTTTTTTACCCATAATAGGATAATTAAATAAAACCGGGTGACTCAATTATTGCTCAAGACATACAATCTTATGGCATACTCATAAGATACATATTATATATTGTGCAAATTTTACAGTAAAGTATACTTGTATTTAACAGGTTAAGGACATACGCAACGTACCTTACCAACTGATAATTTTTCAAGATATTCTTAATTTAAGATTATAGTGTCATCAGATGTTCGTAGACAAAAATCAGTATGCATTACCAGGGGTTTTGAAAAGATATTAATTAATGAAAATTCTTGCATAATTCAAAGAAAAATATACAAAAATTCAATGAAAAATATACAAATATTACTAAACATATATTTTAGATGTTTTGTTTATCCACACTTGTTTTAGAGGAAATGTACAACAGCATATATAGACATTAAAATGTAGCACACAGTTCCTTTAAGCATTGGAACTCTTCAACTCCAGGGAAAAAGACAATAAAGTTCAAACTACGTTGCGTATGTCCTTAAACAGATTTGGAGAATAACATATTGGCATACATGTGACTACGAAGTTCCAATGACTAACAAATATATTTTCCTAGGTTACATAGCTCTTTTACTTTATTGACACTTAATAATTGAACAAATTTAAACAGAGTTTTTTTTCCAAAAGTACTTTTTAATAATATTTTGACTATAATCAGTGAAGAAGGGGCAAATATAAGTACAAAGTGGTATTCATCCTCAATTTATGCACACGTTTTACAACGTATATCATTCCTTGGGAAATTCCAATGTCTTAAGCTTCTGTAGATAGACGTTGATTATGTGAAGATATCGTATTTTTGTTATTTGCTTCTTATAATTTTTTTTAGTATTACTTTCTCTAGATAGTACTGCATACAGAAATTATCAACCGGATGTTTATATAACTTCGATGTTCATGTTACTCAAAAGTAAATGTAAACAATAATCACTAATTCTATGTTTTATTATAGGTAAACACTCACTTGGGTTAAAAAGTTTTGATCCAATTATGCCTAACATATTCAAACTGTCCTTGGTATACTTTGCCCAGTTCTGCCCTTTAAATTTTCTTTGTACATTTATTATATAAATAAATATATGCATAATGAAGTAAAGAGTTGTTTTATCTTGAATCGGTAAGTGACATTCTAAATAAATTAAAGACATAAAACAAAATTAATGTATACGGCCAGTTTCATAATACAGCATAGTTGCATTTGTTGATTTGCGCAACCAAAGAAAATATACCTTTAAAAAATCTAGATGCTTTTTCCGACATGACTTTTATGCACACCCCAAATTTTACACCCATAGTTGAAAATGCAACAAACATATGTGTCCAAAAAAAAAACGCCAAAGAAGTATAATTCTTTCATGGAGGATTTATGATCAGACATTGCTTTGCGTCCCTGCACAGACAATTGTCTCTGGGTAATTAAAAATTTACCATTAAAGATTAACAAAACCTAAATACAAAAAAAAAAAAAGATCTACAACCTCTATAGATTTATTATTGAAATACCATTTATTGTTACTAACGTTTCTGAATACAACGATTTTGTTTTCGAGACATTTACTTCTAAAGCCCGCTCGTGATATGGTTGACTTGTAGTGATAAGCACCTGACTAAGGACGGGGTCATTCATAATGTCAGCAGTTATTACACACTGAAATAATAAATAATTGTGTTCATTATTGGTCATTATCATCTCTGATTCATTAAATTACATTGTAGTGTCCATGACCACAGAAAAATCATAAACAATGTTTACAATGGATCTAAAAACAAAACTTAAAGTATGAAAAAACCGAATTAAGTAGCATTCCGCACTCTTTGACGGTCCGAAAACACACATGGTGCAACATTAATAGTCCAACATAACTTGTACAGTTTGTTAACACATTTTAGGTGACTTTAAAAAGAGCATTGTATATGACGGTGTGAACACCACATCAAAGTGTTAAGCCATATTCTACAAAAGACGCATGGTCATCTACGATGGCGCGAAATTCTCCTTGACAGTATAGGCCAGTTTATGGCCGAAGTGATGGATGTGGGATCTTGACCATTAGAAAGAAATCTTATTATTAATCATAGCGACCTGTCATTAGATTACCTAATGTATTCAGGTTCACAAAAAATACACAATACGTCCAGTCACAAAAGCAAACACCAAGGACTTCTTACATACATGCAAGAAATGGCTTCATTTTTTTTTCATCCCCTTTCAGCGCGACTCAGAAGAATGAAATACTTTTATATTTAAAAATGTATTGAACCTATTGTGATAAGATTAATTTTTAGTTGATAGCCTCTATAAAGCTTACATATACGTATATACTAAAGTCAATTGTTTGAATTTTTTCATCCTTATGTTATGACATCAAATTTTACTTTTTCCTTCAGAAAATAAAGAGTGTCCAAGCTTAGGTCCCCGCCAAATTTACATACTCTTTGTATTAGCATACTGTATACATCTCAGTTTACTACCACAGACACTTTTATTCCGAATTAGAATTACTTCTGAGTCTCTACATTTACCCCATCTTAAGTGTTCACTATATTCCTGTCATTTTACTGGTACGGAAAGAAGTTGTCTGAAGTTTAATCTTTTTAAACCCTACTTTAAGAAAAGTCACCTTGTTTCACACACTTGGAGGATTCTAGTATTCATTTGATAAAATTATTACAAAGGGTACAAAACCAGTTCATGAATACATTTACAAACAAAACTCCTGGCTTAAAACTTAAAACTTCTAAAATTCATTATAAATTTCACATCTTTTGTAAAAATGAAAATAAAGTTATATGTGAAAGATCTGCATAATATTTAATATAATGTTGGTAACTCTTTATAAATAGGCCAGTTATATTTACAAGTTTAGTACCCTAACAATTTTGGTTACTATGCCTACAAAAATCCAGTATTGATTGTTGTTCAGGTGCTCGGGGACCAATAATCAATCCACCTGTCCATCGATAATATTCCAATAAAACGGCGTATATCGCCGCAAGCTGGCGGCATCGTCTGCCGCAAACGGAGATTCCAGACCACGTGACTTGCAGGAATCCTGGCCAAAACACGCCATAAAAAGCACCATGGATATATTTTTACGACGTCCATAATTAATGGACAGTTGACACATTGATACCGATTGATTCTACCTCTATCATCCGTCTTGTCCAGCTTTCGGCGACAAATTAAGGTTTTATGGTGTATCTAATTTGTGAAATCAAAGAAACTGTCAGGAAAAATCTAGAAAGTAGCTTAAACGTTGACGTCTAGTATAAGCCGTCAAAAATTATTACTGTCGCACTCATCAAATACAAAAAATAAGATTGTTCATTTGTTTTGGAATTTTTTACTTGTTTTCATTTTTACGCCCTAAACGTACCGTCAGGTGTCATAAAATCAAAAGCACACTATATACTGAGTTTGATTTTCCTCCAACATGGTTTTTTGGAGGTTTTATGTGTGTGTGGGGGGGGGATTTTTTCGTTGTAAAATTAAGATCTAGTTCTATAACAATTTATTCCCCTTTAACGTATACTTGTAAGACGGGGCGAGGCTCTCTCAAAGTGTACATCGTCTGTTTTGACATTTCGTTTTTTCCTTTACAGTTGCAGCTTCTCCCTTAATTTAGGTGAGGCAAAATTCTGGGAGCCCCTAAAAAGGAAGGGGGTATGTATAGACTGAGCCTTCTTGAACGATCTTCATAATTTTTAGGCTTAAGATGGAGAGGTCTAAAAAGATTTTTTTTTTATAAAAAGGTCATCTTACTTATTGTTTATCAAAAGGATTAATGTTTAACTTCGAAACAAACCAGCAATGCAGGAAAAAAAATGGACAAACTCTCATTATCATACGTGAATTTATCAGATTTAGACTTCAAATCTTATACTAGTATTGACGTCTAAAAAGACATTTTTCCCTACAAGCTTTCATGATAATCGCTAACATTTTATAGTTTCGTTCAGTATCTTGATCAGCAGCACATTGGGGAAGAGTAGAAATCGGAAATATTCGTAAAAGTACGCACTAAGGAAGAGATGAATTTCTGACAGACTAAAAATGTTTAATACAAGGAGTCTGTGAAATTATTGGTCAAGGCCTTGATGATAATGTTTTGTGTCACGTTTGTTTGCTTTTTTAAAAAAATCAAATGAGGATAGCTTTGACTAAAGATTATAATTTATTCAAATGTCACCAGAACTGTTATACAAATGAATTTAAGAAGCCTAAGCGATTCCCTACTAATGTTCATTACACTTATGAATGACTGATTCTAAAAATATAGATGAAAATGATAACGCTACAAAATATTTTACGGGTTATCATTTCCAAATTCAAATGAAAATTCATAAAGGACGTTTATCTTTTCAATAATAAATATTTTGAATAAAAGATTTCTTTTTCTGCTTTTCATTTATTTAAAAATCATGTTAAGGTGATTATTTATAAATACAAACTTTTACAACGGAATTTCACTTACTTACTAAAATGCTCCGGTAATGTTTCCTGCAACATTAAAAACAATGAAACGAAAAACTGCAAAAATGTGTTTAAAATATGTTCTTTAAAAATGTTAGTACAAGTACAAAATGTATTCTTTTAAGATAATATTCAATTAAATGGTTTTAAATTCACCGAAAAAAAAAATATCGAGGTAAAATTCCAAACCATTCGTTCCCAACAGGTTTCCAACAAATATTTCAAGTCGTCATTCATTGATGTTTTTATCAGCATTAATTTATCCTATTTCCTAATAATGATAGTGAAATATTAAAATAATCTTAACTTGTGAAAATGAATTCCAATTTCTCCCCTTCTTTCACCCAGGTGGCTAAATTCTTTTACAATCTCTAAGAATTCAAAATCCCAATCTCTGATATACCACACATATAGTATATGTATCAAAAGTTAAAATAGGTTATATTTTAATTCAAGAAATTAACCTACCGTCCTTTAATTACAAAAGAAAAAGAATTTTCTATGCAGAAATTGTGAAGGACAATGACCGAAAACGCTTTAATTACAGACAGACAGACAGACAGAGGGGTTCAATTGCTAAATGCTCCGGGTAAGTGAAATAAAGGGATGAAAAAATTCTTTACTCATATTAATGTTGTGTTATTTTGTGTGACTGTACACAGAAAACAAAATCGATCTTTAAATTGTAATTCAAATATCTAGTGAACAAAGTCAAACATGGAGTGGTCCCTTCTGATTAAATAAGTAACAAAATTGCTCGTAGTCTCTTGAACTTTAATATTTCTGCATTATCAGTTTGTGGCTACAGAGAGTTTATTCTTTAAGTTCCATCCCTTTAGTTATTATGTGATTATGCTTTAAATCTTGTAAACCGTATATCATGATAACACTATTTTCATGTAATCGTGTTTTTTTTTTTTATTTCGTACACAAGGTGATAGTCCATTACAAGACCAAGGTGGCCCTCAGCAATACCTTACAACACAGCCCGGAGGCAGCCCAGAAACAATGGCTATGCCATCACATTCCTCAAGACATGCTCCGATCGTCCATCAAATTCGATCATAATTCATCTGTCAGAATAATCATCGACGGCCGATTAAGGACATTTGTCTTTCTGGGGACTAGAGACAATCCCTCTGCAATCTGATTGGTTGAAGTGCAGTAATCTTAACTCTGTCCAGAAAGACATTAAATAGATATTTTGGCAAGACAAGTGAGAACTCAAATATGAGATAGAATTTGCAGTGGAAGGACGTCTTTAAAACGTCTGAAGAAAACACCTTTTTTATTCTACAAATCAACATGTTGAAGTCCCTTTCTAACCTACAATTGCATAAAAAGAAGTCAGACGACGGAGAGCAGCTAGTGGAATTTCCTTCGTCGTCTGGAGATGACACATCCCTCATCACTAAGCTGCGGAAAGGCTACCAACTCGGGCGACCAGCTTTGGTCAAGAAAACCGGGAAATACCGCGTAACCTATAAAGGACTGTCCCATTCCGAGCGTCGCTCGTTCGTCCTAGACTTATTTCAAACCTTGATAGATCTGAAATGGCGCTGGGCGATTTTAGTATTTGTGCTCACTTTTCTAGTTGTTTATTTTATTTTTGCGCTGATTTGGTTTATTTTGGCAAAAGCACACGGTGACTTTGATAACCTGAACAATCCTAGCTGGGTCCCTTGTGTAGAGAGGGCGAAAACCTTTGCAGACCTTATACTCTTCTCCATCGAGACACAAACGACAATCGGGTATGGAACCTTTTACCCCAATACGTCCTGCAGCGGTAGTGTGCTGTTAGTTTTTGTTCAGATCACCGTTGGCTTCCTCCTGGAAACTCTGCTAGTGGGCTTCTTGTTGGTAAAATTATCTAGACCCAAACACAGACGACACACTCTCATGTTCAGTGAAAAAGTTTGTATCTGTAAAGAGAATGGAGAACTTTGCCTGGAAATACGAGTTGGGGACATGCGGAAGTCTCACCTTGTGGACACGTCATCGTTTGGAATCTTCGTCAGTGAGAAAGTGTCAAAGGAGGGAGTTGTCTATCCTTTATACCAACAACAGATGGAATTTGAAGCCCATGAGATGCACGACCGTGTCTTCATGATGTGGCCCCTCATTTTAAGACACAAGATAAACGAACATAGTCCATTGTATGAGTTGACATTTGATCAAATGTTGTCCAATACATTTGAAATCATTATCATCTTAGAGGGCACAATTGAAGCAACAGGCGAAATTTGCCAAGCTCGGACTTCCTACTCTTCGAGAGATATCCTTTGGGGTAATCGCTTTGTGAATATGATCGATTTTGATAATGATAATGGGCAATGGAGAGCCAATTTTGCGAAATTCAACGAAACTGTCCCCACCCCAACACCCAAATGCAGCGGGAAGCAGCTTGCAGAGATTTACGGGATAACCGGTCAGCCAGACACTCGTGCCACGGGAACAGACAGCAGTGGACTATTTAGGAGATCCCAGAGTCAAATATTGACCCCAATGACAACAGAGGAACCACCTAACTCTGGCAAGACATCTGATCGACGGTAAGGTATGTTTAACATTACTTAATAGCATGTATAATCACTTGAATTGTTCACTTAAATTATTTTGAGGTTTTTTTTCTTCGTTTTTATTTTTATCCTTTTAACAAATTCGATGTTGCCAGGTATTCACTCTTTAACAGGAATTGTTAGACGATTTTGTGACGTGCCAGCAATATATCACGCGAGGCTTATTGTGTCCGTTTCTGCAATTATAGAATTCAATGAATTGTAGAAAACGACACAATATACACTGCGTGAAGAATCAACACAGAGGAAGACCTCGTATTCTTATTATTTTATGGTTACAATAATATTTAAAAATGTGGAAAAAAAAACATATGTTTATATATAATTAGGTTCTTTTTTTCTTTTTAGACCGCGGTCATACCGACATAGCAGAGCGCCATTGTCATTTGGTGGATTTTACTCTCAGCATCTAGAAATGGGGCGCATCCTGAATGTCTATAAATGATACCAGTGAAAAGCATAATTCTTCATTCTAATTACAAATTCAAGTACAAATGTACATTTTTCTTGATGAAATCGGTACGAAGCAAGCATTGAAATTTCAAATTACAAGTAGTTGTATATGTGTAATTTGGTGCAAAGTAGTTCTGTTATTTTTTTCTTTTTCTGTAAGTCCTAGTGGGATGAAACTCGGAAAATAGCGTCCAAATTAAGTCTTTTAATTTATCGCATATTTTTTTTTACGTCAAAAAATTTAATATATGTTCGATGTAAAAATAAAGCTTTGAATTGAAAGAAAAATGTTTAAAATGTAAATTTTGTAATTTTTTGTAACATCTTGTAATAAGACGAATATATGCACGAAGTCTTAAAATTAAATAACACAACTCATTTTTCAAGTTTCATCCCTGGATAATTCTACAATGAATTAATGGAAGAAATCCAAACTTTCATAAAACCATGTACGCCGACTGAAGGGAGATAGATGTCTCTGTGTATATATCCGTTTGTACTACGTAAAGTCATCTTGATTATAGTTGTCTTAACAAATAAACTCAATAAAAGTTTGAAACTGATGTGGCACTAGTAATTTGTTAGCGTTTTTTCTATTGATGGAGATATCCAACACATTAAAAAGCTTCCAAGCTTACTTATGTAGAAACAGGTGGACAGGTACTATTGAGAATTGCAAAACTATATTTAGTACACATAATTTTGAATTTCTCAATAAGCATATGCATTAATTGTACATGTATCAAAATTTATATATTCATAAATCTAAATCATTTTTAGTAACAAATAGAATGCTGATAATCTGTTCAAGTTATACGGTACATAGGCGTCGGAAGCAAATTGAAAGTGTGTGTGGGGGGAGGGGGGGGGATGGCTAAACCAACAACAACAAAAAACTTTTTTTTGGGGGGGGGGGGGGTTAAACCCCAATTTGCAATGTCTAGATTATGTCTATCTTTGCAATAAAGTGGGGGAGAGGGCTAAAACTTCCCCCAGCCCCTGGTTTCGACGCCTATGCGGTACAAAATTTTGCATATTTTTTAAAAATGATTTTTGATTTATGTTAAAATTCTGATTGATGTATGCTAAAAAATAAATAACTAAATAAATAATAATAACTAAGATAAATTAATTTCTAACGAAAATCTTCAAGTTGATTATAATGCATTATTATATAAGGAAGATAGCATTAAAAGTCCTCATGGGTCACAAGAGACACCCTTCCAACAATTTAATTTAGAGTCGTACAAAATTTGTTTACCAGGTACATTCTGTTGATCTTTAATGTATTTTTGTAAGCAGTGCACATTTTTCACCATTTCAGGTGGAATGACCCTTTAATAAGAGAGACAATTAATCCCAAAGAACAAAATCATGAGTTGTAGAATTTTTATTAATAATACACGGTACATTTTTTTCTAAAACAAAAGTGTTTTAAAGAAAGAACTGTTGCTGATGGATGCATTTCTTTGTTCATGTTGTTCAAGCAGATTCATAGAGAATATTCAATGTTTTGTAGATGAATATGGAATTTATTTCACTCGTGGAACAGGATTTTTTTTTATATTCTCACGAGTGAAATACATTCCATATTCATCTACAAAACATTGAAGAAGATGGGTGAACAAGGCGTGCAGAATGCCTATAGCTTCAGATATTTAAAAAAAATCGTATTCAATTTGTGAATTAAGTATTTAAAGTAAAGTTCTCATTATTGAAATTTATGAACTTATCATCAACAGAACTTTTCTGAGAAAAAGAGATCTCGAAAAAAAGTTATTCTTTTATTAAAAAATAAAATGGTATTAGTGGGATTCGAACCCTAGCAATAAAAATCCGAAGTATCATTCTGATTTGAGACTAACACGCTAACCACTGCGGTACACAGCTCTTTATGAATTGTAGCATTTAAATCATGTTTGTGATATGCCCCTTGATTTAATGGACTTCAAGTATTTCTCGGAAAGATGCGAATGCTTTGTCATAAAAGAGTACTTTTAAGGTATAGTGGGTCTTTGCTCCATGTTTTTGTAAACCAAAAATTATATATTTTTATGCGAACTTTTAGGATAAACTTTCAAAAAAATGGAGCGAACACCCACTCAAATCGAAAAATTTTGTTAAAGTATGAGAAAATGATCCTTTTTGTCCTCTTTAGTGTGAATATGCTATTTCATAGGCTAATAATTTCAGTCTTTGTGAGATTTTTGTAAATTGTTTGAGATTTTACATAAGGTACATGTATACTTTAATGTTAGATGAAATATCAAAGAAAATGTTGATATAATTGAGATTTTATTTTTCACTTCTTGTTTGTTGCACTGTAGGCACTTCGAACGCCTTGTTCACACATCTTCTTTCTGTTTATTACATTTTCTTAGATTTTTCCTTTAATGCCTCTGTTTTTTCGTAACACAGTGTCATAGGCTGTGACATCATAGTCTATCTTACAACAAGCCAGGGATTTTTTTTTTAAAAGCACTCTTCGTGAAGGTAAGGAAAATCGTATGTTTTGCCGCACTTCTGATATTCTCACACTGCGAGAATACCATTTTGATACCCTTTCACACTGTGTCAGAATATCACTTTTATTCAGTATATAAATTACAGTATTTTACTGTTGAAAATGTAATAAAATGCGATATTCTTACTTAAAAAGGAACACATTATGTTTTCTACTATGAATTTAAGGAGTAATGACCCTCTACTCTAAATTTCAGATTTTTTTAAACGTCCTAACATTGATTTTCATCAAGAGTCATAGCATTACTACTATGAGGTATGACGTGCTAAATACCTTTACAGAAATGATTTTTTTTTTGTGAGACTTATTTTCTATTTCGAAAGTTATCTCTCTTATCAGAGAGTCGGTCCCCCTTTGTATGACACTAAATATTATTTTCATATATACCTTATGATTTTAATTTTATATTGTGATGATAAATTATTATCTTTTCTATTCATTGTGTCAATTTTCTTCACATAATTATGGCAAGACACAAATTTATTTATGAAAATTTTAGTACCACTTCATACATCATAGTATTTTCCATTTGAATCTAATGATATTGTTGATGAAAATGAATGTTGGGAAATTTTTTACTTAAAAAATGGCGAAAATTAGAGCAGAGGGCCATTACACCTTTATATTACAATTTAATCCAGGTAGAAATGTCAGACACTCTAATCTGCATTGCAATTAACTTTATTCTTTTTCACATGAAAAATGAGGATTTTTTTGTAATTATCAGAATTGCCATAGCTTTATAATTAAAAACTTGATCAAAATATTAGAAAAAGTAACGATGAAGGCACATTGACCCTCTAATTAAGCTAAAAGGTCATTTGTCAAATTTTGCCCTGCAAAGTATACTGGAATAGTGTGCATTTTAAGTATAATTAGCTTTCTTTTTCGAAAAATCATTAGCATGAGAGAAATTTTTATACGAGTGAACAGAGGAGTGAATCTTTAAAAGTATACTGCAAATTAACAGTTATGCCTTATGAAGTCTATTTATTTGTTTGTACATCAGCTACTAGGGCTATGCATCAATCAATCATTTCAATATCACTGCACACTAGGTTAATTACTGTAATAAGGTGATCAAAACAGATCATGTGAACAAACCTCTTGACTGAAAGTTGCTGCAAACCATTCACAGGACATTGGTGAAATAAATGTGAAATTATAATCATGTATTATTTAAGGGATAAAAAAATTGAATTATAGCAAGCACTGTTTGATATTCATCTTTCACTTAGAGTTCTTGGTAAATGTGTCACTACAAGCCCTCAACCTAGGGCACAGCTCACTTCCTTCTAAAGAACAATACAGAAAACTTTTGGATTTATGACACATGTATTTTTAAAAGTAAATATCAAATGCACTTTATTAAATGTTACTAAAAACTGGGAACATAACTTGATGTGAAAAACTATGATTTGAACCTTTGCTGCCTTGGAAATTGCAAAACAAAATATACAAAAACACCACCATTACAATTGTATGTACATACAAAAAAAGAGATGGATTCTATATCAGATTTGGTCGTATGATAAAAATTATCAAAATTTTCATGTCATGAACACTTAATATATATAAAATCCCTTAGTTTTGCTACCACTTACAATTAATTATATGATTAAAGATAAAAAATGCAAAGGATTATTGAAAATGTAACCATAACTACCCTACCTTGGGTTTCATAAACTTTTGACAATTAAAACAGAACTGCCAAATACAAGTTGTTTAACAAATAAACTACATTGTATGTTTTTAACAATTTTAATAATGACTAGAGACACAATATACTACTGATATCCTAAAGACTTTGTTTCCTTTATTTGTTTTATCTTCTTTTTTGTTTTTGTTTCTTTTTGAAAAACTAAATGTACTTTTAAACCTTTCAAAAGTCATTCCTTTCAGACTACATTGATACAGATCTGTATAAAAAGTACATCTATATAATAAACACCCTCATAACTAGACTAAGATTAACTAGATTTACATATCTAAAATTCTGTTACAAATTATATACAGGTAATAAAACTGCTAAAAACACAAATACTGTTGATCTTACAAAGTAAATATTTATTTCTAAATGATGAAATGACTGGAGATTCTTATCAAGTAATATTCAATGTCACAAGAATTTATTCTATACAGACAATGATATTATCTAGAGTAGACTTGTCAAACAATGACAGAAATTCTGAAATACCAGTAACTACATAAGCTCACACAACCATAAAGAAATAATGCCTTAAACAAGAGATTGAAAGTGTAAAACATTCCAAATTAATACAAAACAATGGCTATTTTGCCAAGTTGGTTTTTAACAAGAGGTTTTCCACATCACATTAACAATCAGTAGAAGCTGTCCTTTCTGTATGTAGACCCGTGAGTATTGAACACTTTGTGGTAGGCTCCATCAGGAGGATCATTAATAACCTTCCTGACTCCTCTTCTTCACTATTTTGATTTTCGAGTTCTGTCCCTGAAATGAATTTAAAAATAATGTCGTTAGTTACAAATGGATCAGATATCAAGGTATGAATGAATCTAATCTCAGACATCATGATTGGTTACTTGATTTTAAGCCAGAGCCTATGTAAATCCCGATTACTTATATGATGGATATACACATATATAATACTTACACTTCCTACTTCCACAGCTTTGAGACCCAGCCTGTCAGCTTCTTCAACCATACAAGCTATTTCTCCAAATGTCAGCTTGTATGATGTGAACGGAATCTCTGTCACATCCGGGTCATTTTTAAAGTCACTGGAACAACATTACCAGTATATTTAATTAAACAACAAATACTAGTAATCCCATTAATTTTATACAGTGCTCAGGGCATCTCTAGGATCTTTTTAATTCTTTATGGAAAATGCACTGTAAATCCACTTCCCTTTTTTTTTTTGAAAGAATATCAAAGATTATTGTATTAATAGTAAAACACGTCCAACTAAAACTGTGGGAGAAGTAGCATTTATTTGAAAAAAATTATACTGTGAGTCAGACTGATAAACAATCAAAAGGATGGACAAGAGGCACTGAGGCTTAAACTCTCTCATATCAATTCATGAGAGCTAATGTAGACCAATTCACCAATTAATATCAGATTTTTCAACTGATTGACAACTTTAATAATTAGTCATTAATATATATGTTTATGTATACACCTGATTTTTAATGTTGGGTACATGAGAATACCAAAGATTACAAATAAGCATCCCACATAATTACACAGAAACATTTGTATATTTCATGTAATCATAGATTCACAAACCTTAGATATTTGATTGCATCTCTGCGGAATTTTTCTGACACTTCCATACACCTCTCCTCTGCTTCCTGGTGCCTTTTGTTTTCTTTATCTTTTTCTAAAGTAAAATTTGAAATTTGAAGTCTTGTAAATTTTTTTTTATTTCTAAGGATTTTATAAACTAAGTATCCCTAACTTTTTTCCAGCATTAGAAAGCCAAAAAATAAACATTTTCCATAAGAACATTCACTCTAACAAAAATAATTTCAGTGATTTTTTTAATGAGAATGTAGACATTAGCCATACCTTCATCGGTGATGCCCTGTGGCTGAGAAAACATCCTTTTACAAGTCTCTATTTCCACCATTTTAAATTTCTGTCTAGATCTGTTGATAAATACACTCACATAAAATATGATCTGTATCAACCTGAATAGAACTTACTTCCATATTTCACTGATATATTACTGTATTCACCCCAATAATCCACGGTAGGTAACCTTGATATATTGCTGTATTCACCCCAATAATCCACGGTAGGTAACCTTGATATATTACTGTATTCACCCCAATAATCCACGGTAGGTAACCTTGATATATTACTGTATTCACCCCAATAATCCACGGTAGGTAACCTTGATACATTACTGTATTCACCCCAATAATCCATGGTAGGTAACCTTGATACATTACTGTATTCACCCCAATAATCCATGGTAGGTAACCTTCCACAAACCTAAGATGACAAAACCCACAAATACATGTACATCCCTTCGAAGTAACTTTTTCATAATAATGAAGGAACTTTCTGCTTGTTACTTAAGAAATACCCCCCCTCTTTTCATTGTATTCTTCAATGCATTGATGTAACTTTACTATTCTAATATGCTATACTGTGGAATCATTTTAATTCATGGGGGGAAATGTTCGTCGGCAAGCAAAATTTTACTGATTTTGTGGGGACATAATTTCGAGGCTACTTGTTTACAAAATAAACATTCAGGAGGATGTAAATTCATGGGTAAGGGTGACCCACGAAATCCATGAACATTGGTCCCTGCGTCGAACAATGATGATTCAAAAGTAGTTATTTAGAGAGATCTAATGCCCTCTTCTAAATTTTTTAACAAGCTGGATGTTTACTAGGGGTAATTACATATTTCAAATCTTTGTACAAAATTCTGACCTCTACTAGTCCAGCACAGGCAAATTATGATACATGTATTAATAAAGAATTACATTTGTACACCAATTTATTTTACTGTACCTCTCCAGAGCAGCTAGTTCCCTATTGACAGACATGTTTCCACTGTTTAATCTCTGGGCTTGTTTAAGTTTCTCCTCAGCCTGATCAAAATACGACTGATTGTGTAATGCCTGAAACAAGAAAGTGTTCAATAATCACTTTATACTTAAGGCAAAGCCATTGTGCATGAATGACAGTCTGCTCCACTATATTTATCACCCAATAACTCCACCCCCTCCACCCCAAAATGCTATTTCCTACATTTTAAATATTTCTTATGCCCACATATGTACACTCAAAAGCTGTGTGCTGCTCATCAACAAGTAATGTCAAAAGCATGTATCTGTACGGAATTTATTATTGTTGTAAGATAAGTAAATATAAATATGAACAATTAATTTATAATGATACACATGTATTCATTCTATTATTCAACTTCTTTAATGTCCCCCGCTTTCACGAAAGCGAGGGAACATTAAATCTCATTTGCTCTCAGTCTGTCACAAAAACTTTAACCTTGGCCATAACTTTTGAAAGAGAAAAGATAGGACTTTCATATTATACATGTGCATTGCCTGTGACAAGACCTTTCTAAATATACTAAGATTTTTTGACCCTAGGACGATGACCTTGAAGTTTGACCTACTTTTCAAAAATGTTATCTTTGCTTATTACTTTTGATTGAAAAAGTGATAGGGCTTTCATATTTTGCATGTGCACTGCCTGTGACAAAATGTTTCCGAGCATGCTATGACTTTTGACCCCTTGACCTTCATGTTTGACCTAATTTTCAAAAATTTTAACTTTGGTGATTACTTTTGAATAACATATGATAGGGCTTTCATATCTGACACAATATGCCATAAATAATGGCATCCCATCCACTAAGACACTGAAAGCGGGGGACCACTTGCTTGTTCAATTCTATTCATACAGTTTAAAAGCTATCTTTCACTGATTAATAACAATATTTTTTAATTAAGTCTCCAGGGAATGCATGCTTACACATAACCTACGATGATATGATCAGGAATAAGTATTTGAAATGTCCATATACATATACAGTAAAATGCACTCATAGCAAATGCAAGGGATAAACAATTTTTAGTCATTCTAACCATTATTCCTATATCCCATAAGTTCATAGTAGGTCTTCAAACTATTTGAAATGAAAATTACTTTGCTGTCCGTGCAATTTCATTATGTAGTCACTGCAACTGCGATGTACTGTATCTCCACATATATTCTAGTGTTTGATATAACATTAGTAGTAACCTAAGGTTTATCATTGTACCCTCAATATCTGATGGCTTACTGAACACTAAGTCAGTTGACATTACAGCTAGTAGAACTGCTTGGCAATGGTTCATTAAGCATGGAGCTGTCAAAGACTAATAAACAATGGCAACTTTTATTTTTGCATAATCGAAATACTCTGAGGACCAACCTAATATTGTGAAATTAAACATTTCTGTGCATTCCATAAAAGTTTCATATATTGATTAAATCCCATTGTGAGCATGTCTTATTCTGTAATTATTTTTCCTTTCATACAAAACGAGTGGAAAACTTCAACGTGACAGCAAACTAGGTTTTCTTTTGTGTGAACAGTACTGGTTTTTCTCACATAGATTATGAACTAGGGGTACTGTAAGCAAGCACATCCTCTGGTTTGATCTTGAGTAAAATATGAACACCAATATTTCTCTAACAGAAAAATAAAACATTTGTCATGAATTTAACAGTTTTTTCTGCCAGTGACCTTGAATGTGTCACAATGACCTTTGGTCTAGGTTATGGCACAATATTAGGTCAAAAACAATCTGCAAAATAAAAAAAGTTCCTATCTTGGACACTGTAGGAGGAGTTATCTGGACAACTCAACTGATGTACCCTTTAAGTAGCCATCCACCCACTTGCCCGCCTGTCATTTTTACCATTTCAATAACCAGATTTTTTGGACAACTGGGTTAAAAAGTCCATATTGAAGTTCCATGAATATTCTTCCATGACTTTTTTTGTGTATAGCAAAACAACTGTCGCAACACCAGTGTGACTGGGGGCTACTTTACCTTGCCATAATGGTACAGAGCTTTGATCTTAGCTGTTTTGTCTCCACGACAAATCTCCAGGGTCTTCTTGCACCACTTGATGCAGCGTTTGGGTTCAGCCATCTTGGTACAACATATGGCCAGGTTCAGATAGAGCTGGAGTAGTAACTTCTGATGTTTGTCTTCTTCCTCTTCATTTTTCAGATGTGCCCTCTCTAGCATTCTAACAGCCTGCAACAAAGTATACACAATACAATGCAATCGGTAGAAAAATTTAAGACATGCAAGACTCCCAAAGCTCTGAAAAAAAAGTCATTTTATTTGGTATAGCTGGAGTGGAAATTTGGTGTGCTTTTTTGTTGGGGGGGGGGGGGGGGGGCTCACACCAAATGAATTTTCTGGTGGACTGCAGGTTTGGTCTGGAAAGACTTATCATTACTTTGAAATGGACCTGTTCCAGAAACTAACTGTTTAATAGGTCACATGCAGCACCTGAAGCTTTCAGTATTGGATTTTCTAAAATTACAATTTTACAGATTGCAGTCAGTGTTTGCTGTTTCAAGTACATGTATTGAGATTGAAGTACACAAGAACTGCGAATGATAGTACTGTTCTCCCGCCTACCTCCAAGTCAATTTTCAAAACTTAACATATTTGAATGATTTTTCATATCTATATAGATATTTATATGACCAGGGATTTATCAGTACCTCTCAGGGGCCAATATTCGGCCCCATTCCCAATTGAAAATGTGTTCAGATTTTCCCAATTTGACAGTATTTTTTCCCAATTGGTGAACAATATGCTTTTATATTTAGTTATCTTGGAAAAACACCAAATAAAATTGCCAGATTGTGTGTAATTTTCATCTATTTAACTCATTTAGCAAAGCTACAGTCATAGCACATGTTTAAAAACACTGTAAAAACATCGCCAACTTTTAATCCGAATTTCCTCTGTTTTTCTGAAAATGGTGATATTGTGTAATTAAATAGATTTATTAAGTTATTTCCAGCTACTCAATTGATCTATGAGTGAATGGTAAGGACTGTAGGCATTATTTCAGATAGAAAAATATATTTTCAATGTTTTAATACATATTAAAAGATAACTTTGAGAAAATGTGTACTTAGTATAATTTTTTGCAGGAGGTTTATAATCTCCAAAACAGATTCTATAATGACCTAAATTGGAATCTCATACACACATGTACTACCCTAATTTGTATAGGTAAATACTTTATACTCATTGAAGTCAATTTTATTTTTTATTAGTCTATTATTAATAAATTGATCTTGTATGATGAAGTTGGATCAGATTAAATTGCCTGTTTGGTTGCCTAAATTAGAGTTCATGCTGAAATATTAAATGAATTACACCTGCATGAATACATGATTTATGCAACATTTTAAATTTTTCCCAATTTCACCAAATAGCTGATAATTTTTTCCCAATTCCCCAAAAATGGCGTTTCCCAAAATAGGCTGATAAATCCCTGTATGAATTTTCATAAAACTTTACTTCTTTGGGAAAACAAAGAGAGATAACTCTATAAATTTGGTAAAACTTGTGTTTTTCACTATAGAAATCAATGGAAAACAGAAAGTATAATTTAAAAACATCCCCCCCCCCCCCCCCCCCCCCCCCGTGAAACAAAATTTCCTTTTTACAGGTAATATGGACTGTCATTTCACAAATTCATACCAAAGCTTTTTGTGTTTCACGGGGGGAAGATATGTTTACAGACAAAAAAACTACAATAATGCTTATTTTTTCACCAATTTCAAAGGGTTTACAACTAAAACATTGTATTTTATTAATAATATATGTTTAATTTTATATGAGTAAAACATAAAAAAGATTTAAGAAACATTTATTCATACCCAAGAATATTTTAAAATGTGGTGATGTTTTAAAGCCCAGTTCCAATGAAAAATATCGTCTACCCCCCTTATTTTTAGAGCTGGAATTAGGGGTAATTAACTATTTAACACTGGTATTACAATTATCAGTCAATTACCATTGAACTGTTCTTTGCATTCAACAAAGATTTTATGGCCAAATTGCCATTAGTATTGAATTAAATGGGTGTAAAATGTAGGCGGGAATCGAGAGTTAGTGTGCGTAGTTCTTTACCTTATTGTAATATATAGCAGCTCTTCTATAACTTGAACTGTCAAACTGTAGTTTTGCTTCCTGTGGATATAAAAGAATTAAAAAAATTATCATCGGCTGATCAAATTAAACAATACCCATAGACAAATGATCTAAACTAAGATACTTTGCTCTTTTTCATTCTTAGGTACAGGTGTGTTGATAATTACTGTGAAATCACTGTTTTTTGTTATTGTTTTTTTTGTTTTGGAAGGGGGGGGGTTAATTTTCACATTTTTTTGAAATGATTTCACAGTACAAAGTCACAGTACATTATATGATACTTCTCCTTTAAACAATTATGGCTACGTGGTACAACAAAATCTAAACAAGATTTCATGTCATGAACATTTGTAAGTTTGACATCTTTTGGGAGAAGTGGCATTTTGAAATATATGTAATGGAATATTCTGCTTTTAAGCAATCAGTTTAATTGTACACACATACAATAAAGCCTACCTACCTGTTTGTATGATTTACAGGCTTTCAGTAAATCATCAAATGGAATCTGCTGTCTTTCCTCCTGTAAAAAGCATTCACAATATTTTATCAATTGTCTACTCCTAAAAACTACAATGAAACTTGTCTAATCCAGAAGTTGTGTATTCCAAAATGTTGCCTAATATTTAGAACCTTTACCTCAGACAATAGTTCTATATCATCATTTACAGCAATTACCTCAGACAATAGTTCTATATCATCATTTATATGACAGAAAGTGTCAACAAAAGTAATAGATGACAACCTCAAATGCTGTTCTGAAAATATCTTAATTCTTTAATTTCAAATTTGAAATTTCTATCAAACCATGACTTTTTCTTAAAAAAAAAAATTGTAGTTCCTATCAAAATTAGCTTTTACTCACATTTAGTATAAATTCTTGCCCATTGCTAAACTTACATGTGTAAATGTATAACATTTCTAACAAGGATATGCCATCCGAAAAACACAAATGTAAAAGCCTGCATTTCTTTCAAATAAGAGATCTTTAAACGAGGATAGCTTGTTATCTAATATTTGAGTTCCTGCATACAAATACAAATGTACATACATACATGTACATAGAATGAGCATTCATATATACTACTTACAATCAGGTAAAAAAGCACTCATCTCACCTGTAGCATCTTTGGGAATCCTGGGGGGTGTTCCCATTTCTCCATATGCATACTGTGGTCTAATTATGATACGAGCCAGCTCCCCCTTCTTCATGGTAGACACGGCCCAATCCAGACCAAGAATCATACCACCTGTTGTTTTGAACATGTTATAAACAAATAGATCATGAAATAAGTTCTGTCTACTTCATAATTGGAGTCCCTATCTGCAGTAAGTTTCTGAATAGCCAAAAATGACATTGCAAAAGAAAGAACCTCTTATTGTGGCTTATTAATAAATATGTTTGCACATTAATTTTAGTAAATATATTTTGGAAAATAAGTCTTTCAACAATCTTTCCCATATATTATTGAGTACACTTTACAAAAAAAGAGAAAATAAATATTTATTAATTCAAGAACATCATGCCTGAAGGTGAAGCAGATTATAAACTGTGGTTCATTACCTGTTTGTAACTTGACTTTCTGAGGGCAGTTTCTCAAACGTGTGGAATCAAATGGTTCATCTCCAAATTCCAGAAAAGCATTGTAATGGACTGTATCAATAAATTCACAATGCATACAGTATGATCAAAAAAGGCAGAAAATGTTAAACAATGCATTTTTTTTATTATTATTATCAATCTATTTTTACATATGTATCTTTAAAGTGAACTAAATATCATTGAGATGGTGCCCATCTTAAAGGACCCCGCTTTAGTATGAAACAAGACTTGTAAAGGACTGAAATTTGAGCTTGACCTTGACCTTTGACTAACACCTTTACCCATGGGCACTCTTTGGGCAAGGTGGGTGCCAGATGGGGCCAGGGGAGAAAATATACTCTGGACAATGATTTCCTATGGTCTTGACCTTTGATCTAGAAAAGCTGGTTTAAGGTCACTTCACATCCTTCACCCAAAGGCACTCTATGGGTGAAGTATGATTCCAATAGAGCCAAAAGAACAGGACAAAGATTTTATATGCTCTATATTGCTATGTCTTTGACTGAAAACAAGAAGTCTGTGAGCCAATGCTCACTACATGTAGTAATACCCCCGCTCTGAAGTGAATATACGCTCTCATGAATCTCACCATAAGGCATGCCTAAACAAAGACTGCTAAAATTTCAAGCATCTGCCTTGAGTAGTTGCTGAGAAAACTGCAATGAAAATTTGTTAGGAACAAATGCATGGATAAATGGGAAGTCGACATCAGATTTGTACAAAAGTAAATCCAGCCATATGGCATGCCTAGACAAAGAGTGTGCTAAAATTTCAAGCATCTGTGATGAGTGGTTGCTGAGAAAAGTGTGATGAAAATTTGTTATGGACAGACAGACAGACAACTAGACAGATTACTACAGGGCACCCTAATAATTCTACAGCAATATGACCAACTGTAAAATGAATTCCAAGATGCAAATAATGAATTAACAGGGCTCAACATTAACTTTTTTTCCTACTTGTCCATTCGGACAAGTGACCAAGACATTTACTTGTCCAAACTTCAACTTCACTTGTCCGAAAAATTTTTCAATAAAGATATCTAATACTGTCAACTTGAAAACTAAAATAAAGTCCATTACACATGATATGTGCTTGATTTATTTGTGATGTTATTAATAAACAACAAACACATAAAACGAAATTTTTTCTGACAACATATACATGTATGTCTACAAGTGAACCTGTCAACATCAAACAGAATCCAAACTTTGTTAAGTTCGTAAGTTCCATGCCTCTTCAGTAGTATGCAATTAGTGAACTTCGATCCCAATCGAATGTGAATCGAAGTCCGGTTTTTATGTACAGCTTCCATCTTGAAACTACCGATTAACTTTCAACAGTCATTCTTTTTATTATTTAGAGACTCCTTTACATTAAAATGCACTTGTCCAATCGGACAAGTGCCCAGCAATATTCACTTGTCCGTAATTTTTTTTCACTGGTACCGGACATGTGGACAAGCGTTAATGTCGAGCCCTGATTAATTAACAACTATTTTTATCTTACAACATTTTTTTTTTACTATACATGCATAATAATATATATATACAGTGAAACCTGTCTAATCCAACATGCATTAGGAATAAAATTTTATGTCAGAAAAAACAGTTTGTCACAGATTGCATAGTATAAAGAACATGGAAAATAGTGAAATAGGAATGAAAAGAAAGGTCAGAATTCACAGTGAATTGGATTCAACAGGTGTCAGATTAGACAGTTTTCACTGTATCTATATATAAATAGTTTACTGAAGGGGATTCAGCAGGAAGATAAGCTTTCAACTCACTTCTGACAATTGCTCCCTCCGGTACAACATTCCCACTTCCTTGCTGCATGATTTTTTTGTACACCATGCCATCATTATTGGGTGAAATGTCTTTCATCTTTCTAATCATTCTCTCAAAGGGAGATGACTCATCCTCATCCTCCGCATCACTGTCATCATCATCAGGTAGAAAGCGATTATTGTAAATGTCCTCAGCCTTGAATTTGACATCTTTTTCCTCAGGTTCTGCAAAATGATCAAATGGAAGAGAATTCAAAACAAGATGTTACAGAACTTTCATAGTGCTACCAGAGTAATATTAACACTTATTCTATCAGGCTATGTTGTTTTTTAAAGAGAAGTACCATTTAAATAACTTATAAATAACTTATGCTTGAAGTTAATATACAGTTGAAATTTCATTTGGCCAACTAGTCCAAGGCTAGTAAATTTCAACCATAAATGACAACTGTTTATCAGAAACTTTTATCAAATGTGATGTTAATAATAAAGAAAATTGTAACTTTATGCTTTGGGTCTAGTTTTATCACATACTCCTAATCTATTACCATTAAAATCAACACTGGTTTCAAACTCTACTCCATGACTGGCTACCCCACTCCTGTCACTAGAGACCCGCAGACCTGAGATATCAATAGGTTCTACCAATGGTACTAAAGGGTCCTCAGCCTGCAAAAAAAAAAAACCAAAATTTTATGTTTTTAATTATTTGAATTAAATATGCATGGATATGTTTAAGCTTAATTTCCAAAATCCCACTGAACTTCCCCATTGACTTATAGTTAATTGTCTGAAATCATTGTTTACTTGTCACATTCTAAAGAAATATAAAAAAAATTGTAAAACTATTTTTCAAGAATGAAGTAATATTATAAGTTATTTATCATGATACACAGATATATAGCTTTTATACCACGATACAGTACTTTTTTTTTTGGCAATGTACTGGTATAACCTTACACCCATTTAGCAGATTTTCTGACAGATAAAAACTGCAGAGTGAATGTGATATATTTAGCTTGTGTTAGCCATATACCGTAATTATAGTTCTATTTATGTTGATTACACATTTTTGATACTTGTCTTAAATGAACATTTTTTTAAACTGTTTAAAAAGTTTGTGTTTTGTGTTTTGGTAGCTTTCAACTTCTTACTTATCTTCAAACAAGCAGGGAAAATGCTTATTATTTGTTGTTTATTTATAAACAGGTCCAGTACAATCAGTACATCTAGCTACATAGCTAGAATTACCTAATACCTATGTAATTTATGTAATAAAAATAACTTTAGGTGATGAATTCTATTATGTAATGGAGTGTCCACACTTTTCCTCTTTACGTATGAAACTTATTGATAAGAAGTATTGTTTTCATGTAAATACTTATAAGTTTGAGAATATTATGTCCAACAAAATGTTGACTTAAAGCTGTCTTTGTTTTTAAAAAAAAGATATTGGCCTGTTTTCAGTAATACTTTTTCACTTGATACTACTCTTCCTTACTTGACTGTGTATTTTGTATATATATGTAAATATGTTCATGTACCTCATATACCATTGTATGGTCTGAGAGAAATAAAATAAACATAAACATTGTTTGAGTAACTGCACACCACCATGTGTGCAGTGAGCCGTGGATATTAAGTATGATTACTTCTTGTGCTGAATAATTACCAATCAATACGTTCTATTTCCATTAGTGAACTCTTCAAAATTAGAGGCGCGTTTGGTCGTCTGACTGGGACAGCATGGCGTTGCGGATAATACAAAACATGTCAATCTCAATCCAATTTTAAATGTTAAATGTATTTGTCATTCCAGTTAAAGAATAGAAGAACTAAAAGACATATGTAAGAGAGCGATAACCCTAAATTTATCATCCATCAATAAAAAAAACGATATTTCCGAGGCGTGTGTATTGTATTTAGATGTACCATACGATAAATAGATACATACGATCAACAATAGATATTGATATCGTTGTCATTCCTACTCTTGATGTACATAAAGTCCACAACAAAAAATATTTCATTTGCATTTTCTTAGGATTTGTTCATCGACATTCAAGATATTGTTTACATGTTTATGTTACGTTTGTCCCAGAAATCCCCCGAGATCTGTACATTTTCCGACTTTTTCACAAAAGAGCGCACTAAGAAGTATAACTCTTCCATAGTGGAAATAGAATGTATTATCATGTTAACCAAAACTGCATGGTCTTCTTTGTTATTTCATTCAAGAAGTAACTGTTTGGTCACAAATTAACTAATACTGTATGTAGCTCCAAAACTTCTAGAACTTCGATTGCAATTGCACAGAAAAAGACACATTATATACCATTATATCACCTTATATATGTACCAATTAATGATCTATTTTACATACTGTTTTCAATGTTAAATGTACCAATAATTGTTATATGTACCTTGACCTATGGAGAGAACGATTATAGGCATTATGCCTGCTGTTCAATCCATTTCATTTGTAATGAATAAAATATATTTTAAACTAAACTAAAAAGACACATCTTCAAGAGTGATTTTTTCATGAATTGTTTTCATATGAGTTCAAAGTTGAATATTATCACTGCATCAAAGTGCGATTTTCTGCACATCCTGAGAAAAATGCTAATTTAATTAAGAAAAAAGTTTGATTTAATAGCTAAATAAAGCTACTTCAGGTAGGTAAATAAAGCTATGAAGGTAAATCAAGCTAGGTATCTAAATCTAGTAATTGTACCAGACCTTATATATATATATATATATATATATATATATATATATATATATATATATATATATATATATATATATTGACATGTGTTTCCTTTATAGCATCCATATTCCTGAAGTTTTGTGGCTATGTAAAGCAACTGATATGTGACTGAACGTCTGAAATTTTTGCTTCTAATTAACATGATAAAATGATTGGTAAACTGGTAATAATTCAGCGGAATATAAAGTAATCAAACGAATCCATGCCTCACTGCACACAAGATGGTGTCCAGTTACAAGTACCAAAATCATATACATTTTTTGCTAAAAGAATCTTCAAAAAGCTGAGTTTTTAACTAACTATAATTAACCTTTAATTGACTAAGATTACTTCCATAAAAGTACATAAAGAGCCATAGCTGCCTCTCCGACGACACGGCCGACTCAAGAATTTAAAAGGAAATCACCTGTTTCTATTTATAGATATACCTTTTCAATTCAAGATCAAACTATGTAATATGGTTTGAGGACGAGTATTATATTTTCATAGTTGCAAGTATGTCAAATGACATTCTTTTGATTTGTTCAATACTCTAATTCTGAGACAAAAGATTTAGAAAATCAATGAAAATAATACAAGTACATGTAGCTATGAATTTACAAACTTTAAAGCTTTATATGGCGTATCTAAGCTAAAAAAAAAAATAAAATAAAAAACGAGATTGAGTGAAGATAAACGTGATATATGTTTTTTACGTTCAAATAAAAATTTTCACCGATTTTGAACTTAATTGAATAACCTTATGTTTCCATAGTTAAATTGATTTTAAACTGTGTCTGTTAATTAAATGCGGAGTCGTTAAATAAATCGGATATTGTATTAAATTTCTAATATCTTTGAAACGTGATTGATTTTTATTGTGTAATTTACAGGAAAGTCCTATCTTTATATAAAGTAATAAAACAAATAGAAAGATCTTTTAATTTTGGTTAAATACGCCATATATGACTTTAATGAAATACATGTCGTTTAGGACTGTCTTTTCCCGAGATACTTTCAAAGTGTAATGTGTATATTATAACTTTCTGAAATTATGCATATTATAAAACGTAACAAAGAAAAACGTAGAAAAGATTCACAAAGAAAATTAAAAAAAAAAAAAAAAAAAGGATAAATGGAATATTGTGGGGCTCGAACTCGCAATCACCATATTTACATTCCAGCTATCATACCACTGCGCCAACGAAGTCAATGACGTCGAATGGATAAATTTAAGACAGATTGCTAAATCTTACGATTATATGAGAAGAAAATTTGAATATATATTTTCATCATTTTCAATATGAAGACCACCTTTAACCAAAATTATCTAAATGTAATGAAGTGCAGTCATATCCAAATAAAATTATTCAAAAGTTGTTTTTCTGGTTAAGGGTGGTCTTTGGCAACAGTTTGTCATCTTTAGGTGGATACCTCAATATTTGCTATACACTCCATACAAACTGGATAATTTTCATATTTATCATATGAAGGAACTATTAATATTGAAATATCATTATTGCGTGGTTTTGTTTTACATATGTATAAACTAATATTGTATGACAAAAATTTGGTTAAACAATCAATTTAAGAAATCACTAGTAGAGTAGGCGATAATGCCTATCAAATGCGCTATGGCTCTTTAAAAAAAAATTGAGTAGTACACTTGTAATTTATTGTTGCAGTTTCTGAATTGTTTCTTTTAAAAATAATACCACAAGAATGCTCTTCTTTGGAGAATTGCATTGCTGTACCAGTAAATCTCTACATCTTGTAGTTTAAAGTAATTAAGAATTAACTCATACAATACCTCAAAGTCTTCCATTATAAGTAATGATGCTTGCACAAATCAGCAGTAGCGAGTATCACATATGATGGGCTCAGTTACTCGGAGTATCTCTGGGTGCATCTGGGTCTTAAAGTCTCTTGTCAAGGATACTTAATTGTAATGGGAACATACTAAAGACCTGACCTACTAAAGACCTGACTGACCTGACCAACAAAAAATTCTCCAAATATCAATATTCTGAGTTTTTATATCAACTTCTTCATGATATTTTCTTAATCATTAGGTGTAATTCAATTGAATAAAGGTATATTCAATCATTTTTACCAAATTTATTGTCATTTATCTATTCATTTCATGAAAATTTAATGACCTGACCAAATTTGAAATGACCTGACCAAATGATAATCATTCATAATTGTTATCTTTTTAAAAATATTTGATACATTTTTAACATATATTCTCTACAACAAAAAATTCTCCAAATATCAATATACTGAGTTTTTATATCAACTTCTTCATGATATTTTCTTAATCATTAGGTGTAATTCAATTGAATAAAGGTATATTCAATCATTTTTAACAAATTTATTGTCATTTATCTATTCATTTCATGAAAATTTAATGACCTGACCAAATTTGAAATGACCTGACCAAATGATAATCATTCATAATTGTTATCTTTTTAAAAATATTTGATACATTTTTAACATATATTCTCTATTATAATGATTGATAGTTTAGGCAAAATGTTTTTAGATGCATTTTTACCAAATATTTAGTCATTTATCCATTCATTTCATGAAAATTTAATGACCTGACCAAATTTGAAATGACCTGACCAAATGATAATCATTCATAATTGTTATCTTTTTAAAAATACTTGATACATTTTTAAAATATATTCTCTATTATAGTGATTGATAGTTTAGATAAAATGTTTTTAGATGCATTTTTACCAAATATTTAGTCATTTATCCATTCATTTCATGAAAATTTAATGACCTGACCAAATTTGAAATGACCTGACCAAATGAAAATCATTCATAATTGTTATCTTTTTAAAAATATTTGATACATTTTTCAAATTTGTTCTCTATTATAATGATAAATAGTTTAGATAAAATGTTTTAGAAACATTTTTACCAAATATTTAGTCATTTATCCATTCATTTCATGATAATTTAATGACCTGACCAAATTTGAAATGACCTAGCTAACCAAATGATAATCATTCATATTTGTTATCTTTTTAAAAATATTTGATACATTTTTCAAATTTGTTCTCTATTAAAATGATTCATACTTTAGACAAAATGTTTTAGAAACATTTTTATCAAATATTTAGTCTTTATTCATTTATTTCATGATAATTTAATGACCTGACCAAATTTGAAATGACCTGACATAATGATAATCATTATTAATCTATCTTTTTAAAAATATTTGATACATTTTTAAAATATGTTCTCTATTATAATTATTAATACTTAGATAAAATGTTTTTAGAAATATTTATACCAAATATTTAGTCATTTATCCATTCATTTCATGATAATTTAATGACTTGACCAAATATGCAATGACCTGACGAAATAATAATCATTCATAACTGTTATCTTTTTAAAAATATTTGATACATCTTTAAAATATATTATCTATTATAATGATTAAAACTTAAGATAAAATTTTTTTTAGAAACATTTATACCAAATGTTTAGTCAATTTATCCATACATTCATTTCATGATAATTTAATGACCTGACCAGATACTGATCGGACATTTTTACCTCAAGCTTTAAACTCTTAATTTTCTGTATGTTCAAGCACACACACTTTTTAAAATCTTTTTATCTATCAGCTGAAATGAAACTTTTTTTAATATCCAAATATAGATTATGAAATCAATATTGACCTATAAATCGACTGCACGATGACCTGACCGAATGTATCCTCAGATATTTATAACATGCTTTAAATAAAATTTGTCTTTTGTTTAATTTTCCATTTATAATTAAATTATTGGGAAGTAATATCAAGTTTTTATAACTTGACCTGACCAGTGTAGAGACCTGACCAATCTGACATGAATATATAAAGACCTGACCGATGTAACAAACTAAAGTTCTGACCAAAATGGGAAGTATATATAATTACAACTTTGTAGACTGCTGTGAATTCTAATTTAAACTAAGAGAGTTGTTCAGAAAGATCGCGGAATTCAACATAGCATCATGTGGTTCTAAAAAATTACTCTTTCTATACATATTTCACACTGTATGAATAACAGTGCACTCATTAAAAACATTTCTCTATCACTTAAAATTTATTTTGCTACGAAAACTATGGATTCATCTCCGCATAACTATTGATGCCAATTTACATCACTAATTATCAGCAGTGCATGCCTTCGTCATAAAACATCTATCTTCAAAAATAATTTCTGCATACAAGGATAAAAGTGATGATTATCCTCAGTCTTTATATTCACAAGACTTGTTCTTCTTATAGGGTCTTAAACAATTAAGTTTATTAAATTTGATTAACTCGAATTTTAATCAGTAGTGTAGTATATACATGATATAGTCCACTAGTTATACACAAGCTCCCTTGAAGGGATATAGGTAGGTAATTGTTAAACAAACAATGGGTGACCAGTGCCCCCTCTTGACACTTCTATCACAATAAATTAGCAGAGTAAGCGGATCAACAATTATCCATTTCACTATTTGATATTTTGATATACAGTTTATAGATTTGATCTAAAGAAGCATTCTTTTAATTCATTTGATAATTTTTCACACTCCTTCATTAAAAGTAACTAATTTTGTAAATATGTATACACTTTGCTGTATCCAAAATTGATAAAAAAATAAATAAAAAAAAATACCTAAACAGGTTGAAATGATGATATTACAAGCACAAATTAAATATTATTAAAATGATTTGATTTTGAACATATTTTATTGTATATTACATACAAAAGGATTGGATACAAGTTTTTTTTCCACTTAATAGATCCTCTCCTTGTTATACAAACACAATGATTACTAGATCTATATGCATGATTGTCATAACAAGTAAATTGAGATAATTTACAATAAATACTGGTACCGTAGATATATATTATTTTAGAAGATACACAAAACATTTCTAACTTTGTGCACTTCTGAATGTAATTTACATATAGAAGTGCACAAAATTAAGAATATCAAAGATAGTATATATTACATGTATCATTAATCAAGATTTCTTTTATGGTTATTTTTTCCTTGTTTTTTCCGTTTATTTATTTATTTTATTTGGTCGGTCAACCCTATTTGTTTTACTTAATGTATTTATGTCTTTGAACAATGTTAGTTTATATGTATATATGGTCGGTCAGGTCTTTAGTAGATATGATCAGTCAGTACAATAAGTATAGATATGATGGTCAGTCAGGTCTTTAGTATAGACATGGTCTGAGTCTGGTCACTGCAATTGCTGTCAGGTCATCTATATTTTATTTTATGCTTAAAAAATATAAGATAAGATTTTTAAATTTAAGTGCATACAATACTTTAAATTATAATTGGTGAAAAGTTGCTTATTAAATTCGGCTTAGTTTCATCAGGTCAATGCATATTTAATATATAGGTTCATAAGTTTGTGTTTATCTGTCAGAAATGTTTAATTACAAAGTATTACACCTGAATATTCATAAATTAACATTATATGTATTAAATATTTTTATAAAATGATAACGATTACAAATGATTTTCATTTGGTCAGGTCATTTCAAATTTGGTCAGGTCATTAAATTTTCATTAAATGAATGCATGGATAAATGACTACATGTAAATATTTGGTAAAAATGTTTCTAAAAACATTTTATCTAAACTATTTATCATTATAATAGAGAACAAATTTGAAAAATGTATCAAATATTTTTAAAAAGATAACAATTATGAATGATTTTCATTTGGTCAGGTCATTTCAAATTTGGTCAGGTCATTAAATTTTCATGAAATGAATGGATAAATGACTAAATATTTGGTAAAAATGCATCTAAAAACATTTTATCTAAACTATCAATCACTATAATAGAGAATATATGTTAAAAATGTATCAAATATTTTTAAAAAGATAACAATTATGAATGATTATCATTTGGTCAGGTCATTTCAAATTTGGTCAGGTCATTAAATTTTCATGAAATGAATGGATTAATGACAATAAATTTGTTAAAAATGATTGAATATACCTTTATTCAATTGAATTACACCTTATGATTAAGAAAATATCATGAAGAAGTTGATGTAAAAACTTAGAATATTGATATTTGGAGAATTTTTTGTTGGTCAGGTCAGTCAGGTCTTTAGTAGGTCAGGTCTTTAGTATGTTCCATTGTAATGAAAGCGTTTAAATAACACTGATCAACTGTTCGTATGCTATTGGAGTTTTTTCCTCAAACCAAGCACCAAAAATGACAACAAAACTAGGTAGGCGTTAAATTGTGTTTAATTTTCATTTTCAAAGAGAAGATACATTTGCAATCAATATCTTATATTTATTTCTACCATGCTTTTGTTTTTCCTCGCATTTGCCTTTAGTTTAATTATTTACAAATAATTGCACCTGTCTCGAATTTCCTCAGACAGTATATTTCACTATACTATATAAATTCACTCTGCAAAAGAGCAGTACCGCAGTTATCGTGAAACAGCCCATTGCCACGTATTGGAATTCTTACACTTACTGTTGATGATTTCTTTGTTGACTCGTAATAGTATTGACATTTTGACTTCTCTATTAAGTCATTTTAGCATCTAAACAATTAAAATGAATTTTTTATAATGATGGATAAATGTTTATCCTTAAAATGATTGTTAATCAAGATAAAAGTTGAGTATACAACTAAAAATTCTAGGATATCCTGTTAATTAATTACTTTGCAGGTGGGATTCCACATGATGTTCTCCAGGAAATGGAAAACAAATTTTCCTCTGATCCTAAAAACAAACTGGCGCAAAATGTGTGTTACACAACTAATCCAAGACAAGTCATGAAAAGTCAATCAGATCTTCAAGATCAAGTGCATGTATTTAATTGCAAGGTATGCCATTTTTTGATTGATGTTTAATAAAACACAGAATTTCAAAAGTGCCTTATAGCCTTAGGTGATGATAAACTAATTGATGGTGCCTACATTGCATAAGGAATTAAGCAGCAGTGTGGGGAGACTGTAAGGATTAGATTGCAGTGAATGGAGTTTTTACTGCAGTTTATTTAATTTTTAAATAATCTCACATCAGCTTTTTGACATGTTTATTATTATTTAAGGGGAAATAATTTTTTGAATGATGCTCTAAAAATGCTTAGGTGAATTGAAAAAAAAATGCTAAAGCAAACAATTGACCATGAAGTTTGAACTAGAAATCATTTTTAAGCAATGTGTATATGTTCTGTAATAAGATTAGAAAATTCATTAACAAAATTTTCAAGAATATTTGATGTTTTTTAGGTACCAGTGGAAGGTAAACCAATGACGAATCAGAAAGCTTCTGGGCGCTGCTGGATATTTGCTTGTATGAATGCCATGAGGTGTAGTGTGATGCCTCTATTCAAATGTGATGAATTGGAGTTTAGTCAAAATTACCTCTTCTTCTGGGATAAGGTTGGTTCATACTAAAGAACTAAAACTTTAAAAATACTTACGCAGTGATTTTTGTAAAGAAACTGCTTTTGGTCTTGAAAAAATTAAAAAATTAAGATTTTATTAATGGTTAAAATGTGAAATCTTTCTAAATCAGTAAAGGATTTTTTGAAGGGCACATATTTTTGTGCACACTGGTTTATGACTATGACACATGCTTTTAGCTGGAGCGTTGCAACTATAATTTGGACTCTTATATTGACTGTGCTCGTCGGGGGGAAACATTTGAGGGACGACTTGTGAGCCATCTTCTTGTTTCCCCATCAGAAGATGGGGGACAATGGGATATGCTTGTAAACCTCATAGAGAAATATGGAGTTATTCCCAAAACTTGCTTCAAGGATGCACAAAGTGCCCAAGAGTCAAGGGCTATGTGTGGAGTTATCAACAATAAGGTAGAAGTATCATCTTGATCATTTTGAATTGATAATTAAAAAATGTCTATATGAAAAACATTTCTGTTGCACCTTAATTTTAGTATACACACATCTGTTGTTGATCAATATTTTGTAGCACATTAATTTATTTTTAGTTTACACACATCTGTTGTTAACCAATATTTTATAGAACCTTAGTTTATTTTTAGTATACATACATCTGTTGTTAATCAATATTCTGTAGCTCAAACAAAGACAAATTCTGTATTTTACAGATGAGAGAGTTCTGCAAGAGACTGCACACAATGGTCTCTGAAAAAGCTTCTGATGAAGAAATCCAGAAGGAGAAATCTCTGATGTTACAGCAGGTTTATAAATCCTTATAACAAAGTCCCCAGTGTCTTCCTCATTTAGCTCCTTTAATATGAATAACTTACATCACATTGCATGTTTCATTATTATACACAGCACATCAGAATGATAAACTGATTGTCCAAACAGATTTAAAAAAGATCACTTAAAGTTTGTCATAAAGCATCAAGTGGTAAAAGAATACAATTATGTCTTTAAAATATTTTTTAAAAAAAAATGAATGCTGAAAAATAATTTTTTTGCTTTTCAAGGTGTCATAAAGATGCATTAACAAATTATTTTAATGTGTATTACCCACTCTGATTTGACACTGTGCAATTTGTATCAAAAAGGAAAGTATTAGTTTGTTTGGTTTGAACATATTTTATTGTATAATATATGCAAAAGGATTAGTTCTTTCAACTTAGTAGATCCTTTCCTAAAAGTATTGGTGAATGATAAAAATGTACTATGGCCTTTTTCCAGATTTACACCATTCTCTCCATTTGTTTGGGAACTCCACCAAAGACCTTCACCTGGGAGTATTATGACAAGGATAAAAAATACCAGAAGATTGGACCAATATCTCCTGTGGAATTCTACAGAACTCAAATCAAACCAGTGTATAATATGAAGGATAAGGTTTGTCAAACCAATGAAACCAAATCAGGGTCTAGTTACTCTGAATTTATGACATTGACTGTAAATAAAAACATGTCTTAAGCATAAAACCCAGAGTACTACAGATTCCATCAGAAATAAACTGTTAATCCTGGAATTTTTTATCAGTTGAAAAAAGAAAACAATTGTATCAATTAGAAAGAGTCTTTTTTTATTTTCTCATATTGAGTATCATTTTTATGTAAACATTTGATATTACCAGACATTTTTACTTTGAATCATATATTTTTCCTCTAAGAATGGAAAAAACTTGCATTTGTATCATTCTGAGTAGAGTTATTGAATTTTTTTATTTATTTGAACACTTGCTAATGAAGTTTTTCATACTTACCATACATTCTTTTATGTTTTTTATTTAGTTGTGCATTGTGAATGATCCAAGAGCAAAGAATCCCTATAACAAACTTTATACTGTGGAGTATCTAAATAATATGACTGGGGGCCAGCCTGTGTTGTATATAAACCAGCCCGTGGATGTGTTAAAACAGCTCACAAAGAAGGCCCTGTCAGAAGGAGAGGTTAGTACAACATTCTCATTTTATAAGAACTATAGGATCTTAATTTTAGTGATCTTCAAGAAAAAGTAAAACACTGTAGGAAAAATCATGGGGTGTTTCGACGATACATTACTTTGCTTCTATCTTACATTCATGCTATGTATCTTGGCATATTGTATTTTCGACATATTTAGATATTATTTTTGATTTATTGCAAAATACTCATATATATCAAAAATTGAAAAAAAAATAAGGGCTAATAAAGATTACCAGTATATATGTGTCTTTTAATAAAATAATAATAGAATAATAATAATTTGTGGAAAAAAACATTATCAAAAAATCTCTGTAATTAAGTGATTATGGCTTTGATTAATCAACAGGTAAAATGTGCATTAGTAAAAAAAAAAAAAGATGAGGATTTCTGACATCAGAGGTAAATATCTGAAAAAATTCATTGAATTAATTTATTTTGGGTATCTTCACAACATTTGTATTTGTTATTTATATTTCCAAGTTAAACAGCCGAAAATTACAATTGTATGCCGTATCACTCAGTATCTGCTTAGGAAGCAGACTTGGAAAAATTTGTTGAAAATTCAATATGATCAAAAACAAAATAAGAGACGATAATTGTACATGTACATGTATTTCTATCTCTTTTTTGGAGTGGGGGTGGGGTTAATATTTAAAGTGAGCTTTTATGATCACACATTTATGTGTAGCATGTGTCTGTTTTCCATCTGGAAACTTTTGCATATTTTCAACTTTTTCTCTTGAACTAAAGAGAATGAAGAGAATTCAGATTAGTTCAAATGAAGATCCACACCCTCTTTTAGGGGAGATAATTAAGAAATACGTGTGGTGAAAAATTGGTGGCATCTTTTACAATTTACTGGGCTAGAAAAGACAAAACTAAATGAAAGCTTCCTAAAGTTTGTGTAGATTCAAAATTGTTCAAACCATGACCCCTGTGGGTAAGGTGGGGCCACAATAGGGAAAAAATTTCAAGTAAGGATATGTAGAAAAAAAGTTGTTAAAAATCTTCTTCTAAAGAACAGGAGCTTTGATAAGTAATCAGTGCTGTGGGGTTAGGTTGGGGCCACCTTAGAGGTTTATGGTAATATATACAAGTACCTTATAAATCTTAATTCTCTCCATGCCAGAAGGGGCATAAGGCTGTAATATTTATTTTCCATTTCTTTCTGTCCCTAGTTTTGGTGGCATTCCAGCTAGGCCAACCAGCTGTATTCCCTTCTTTATTGATTGTTCTTCTCCAGGCTCCGGGGCCATAAAACTTTGATGAACTCACTTTTGATCTCAGTTTCACTTTGACAAAACGAATTAATAGTGGAAAAGTGAGACTGAGATCAAAAGTTAGCTGATCTAACTTTTATGGCCCCAGAGCCAGGTGGTCTTTGGTCTTTCTTTTGCTTTTATTCCTTCCAGCTGCTATCCCAAGGCTTTTTACAGTCATTGCCTTCTCTTCTTAGTATGTACCTTATCCACTTCCATCTTCTCCTACATATTCACATCTGATGTTTTCCAGTCCTGTTTTTCCATTATTCTTGCAAACATAAAGGAATTTTTTAAAAAAATCCTTTTTAACAGTAACAACGTCCACACTAAATCATACATGTACATGTATTAGTATGGAACCATTTCCAACTTCCAAGTTGTGTGGTTTAAGTTTTTTTTATACCCCCTGCTTGAAAAGTGGGAGGGTATATAGTGATTGGGATGTCCGTCCGTCCATCCCTCTAGCTGTATGTCTGTCCGTCTGTTACGCTTTGGGGTACCCATCTCTTATCCGCAACTCCTCTTTTACCACTGAATGAAATTAAATGAGACTTTCACAGAATCTTTGTTACATAGTGCCATTGTGCACTTTCTATTTTACTTTTTGATCGGACACATATTTCGGGTCTCCCAGAGCAAAACATGGACTTTGCCATTATAACAATATGGGAGGGGGGGTATCATTTAGTGAGCTCATTGCTCACAGTACCTTTAGTTTCAAATTATGAACCCAATTATGTTGGGATGGGGCTAAAATTGTGGATCAAATTTTAAATAATTCATGTACGCAGAAAAAAATAACATTTCAGAAGAGCAAAGCCATGTAAGTCCTATAGATTTTGAAGCATTCCCATGTTGTTTGGATTCAAGTTTGGATATCTGGATAAGCCATGGCCCTTTGAAGTTAGAATGGGGCTACATTTTGGGGTAAAAAAAATTTCATGGGATTAAAGAGGGAAAAATGTCCTTTAAAATCGAATGAAAGAACAGGAGAGCCAAGCTTACCTGAGGTGTGCATTGTGGCCCATGGGTCTCTTGTTTAGTTATAATATACTACATTGTTCATGATTTTATATAGCTGTCACGTTGATTTGTCTTGGGCTATATGGTTTGGGTGTGAATTTGAATGTACATGTAACTATGTAGATGTCACATTGCTTTGTTGTTAGGCTGTCTGGTTTGGCTGTGATGTTGGGAAGTTTTGTAGCATAAAACCAGATGGAGTCCTTGACCTCAAGGCGTAAGTATCATTGATTTTCACTACTTTATTAAGGTCTTCCGTCTTCACGGAAGACCTTATAGTGATTCTACTGTTTCTTCTTATTATTATTTTTCCGCCCATCTAATTTTGTGCACGCGATTTCTCAAAGACTACTGGATGGAATTTAGTGAAATTTGCAGGAACGATGTGTTGTAATCTGAAGTTATTTTATCCGAGAGATTTTTTGGAAAATCACTTCCGGTGCCAAGTTACAGACCATTTTCTGAATTTAAAAAGACATTTTGTCCGCGGATAATCTCAAGAACGGTAAAAGATATCAATGTGAAACTTTCAGGGATTATAGATCATGATAAATCCTAGCCGGGACGTGACTTTTCGTTCGTCGTCGGTACTCCCGGTCGTTACCGGATGCGAATTTAAAAAGTTGAATTTTCTAACTTTTTTGTTTTTCAATATTTTTCTTTGATTTTAGTAGGGTTAATAGAGACATTTCCAAAAAGGCTTAATACATAATTTGTTTAAAAATTAATAAATCCAAACTCTAGATATTCGCATTTTAAAATTTGAAGCGGGTCCAAAATGGCAGCTCTCTCCGTAAACTCCGACGAGCAGGTCGGCACTCGGAGCTCCTCAGGTGGCTGGTACCTCGCACACTTAACGATGTTCTACCATTTCGGGTTTAATCCCGATTATATCTGAATTTTCTTTTTCATTTTTAGCTCTAATTTACGTTTCCATCTTTATAAATGATTTTTTTCTGTGTGAATCCTGCGCTATTTTCATTTGTTTTAAATAAATCTTTAAAAATCCTTGCATTTTTGTGAAGGACCCATGTTATATTTTCCGGACATGGGTAAGTCAAAGTTTTCCTGAGAAAAAAAGGTTAAATACATGGGTTTTTTCACTTATTAAATAGTGATTGAGAGTGATCTCCCGTGTAGAATTCTCTAAGCGATGAAAACCAATAAAGCATATGTTTACAGAGGTAAACAAGGAGCATGTGTACTTCCTTCAATGGGTAGAATCATCTATACAGCAAGAAAGAAATGGCTTTGTTGTACATTGTATTTAGGAAACAAAGAGCCAACAGGTCTTCGTTTACCATAGTTATGCTCAGTATGCTGGGAAAGGCAAAGATGTGACATATGCTGAAAGGTAGACCGACTGAGATCAGTTTCTAGGTTGTATGAATGAAGCAGCATTTAGTAAATAGGAATAAAAATTGAAATAAATCCATGCTAATATTTTTATGACAATGTGT